CCTTGAGCTCTGATCCTTCTGCATCCTCTTCCTGTGTGCTGGGATCACAGCCAGGAGCCACCGTTTCCAGATAGTGGCCAGATCTTAAAGCTGTCGCCTAGGCAGAAGGGTGTGAACTCCATCCTGTGTTTCCCGGGTCGTAGGAGAAGGAGTCTGTACAGGGGTGGGATGGGGTGGTCCTAGGCACAGTGAACGTGGGCAATCTAATCAATGGAGGAGCTTCAATAGAGATACGAGGTCCAAGGAAGCAGGAGAGGAGGGTCACAAGAAACCAAGGGAGGAGAGCAGGGGTGGATGCTGAGTGAATGCGAAGAGGAAATGATGCCCGTATGTGCCCTGGATTCCTGAGGCAGGAGCTACTTGTGGGGAGCTTTGTGGATGCCCTTTTCAGGGTGGATCCTGGTCCTGAGACTCTGGCTGGAGCTTCTCTGGGACTCTGTGTGTGATAAGTTGCTTCCTCTCTGTGGCCTGCCCTGTAGGTCTCCCAGTGAATACATTGCTGCCATCTTGGAGCTCAGTGCCCTGGTAGCAAAAAAGTACCAGCAGGTCTTCCTGTATGTGGACTTCCTGTACTACCTCACTGCTGATGGACGGCGCTTCCGCAAGGCCTGTGACCTGGTGCATGACTTCACGGATGCTGTCATCAGGGAGAGACGCCGTACCCTCTCTAGCCAAAGTGTTGATGAACTTGTGAAGTCCAAGGCTAAGTCCAAGACTTTGGACTTCATCGATGTGCTCTTGTTGGCCAAGGTGGGTTTATGTGGGCTACAGGCAGGTGAATGTTCACTGTTAGAAAATCTTGAATTTGATCAAAAGGATACTGAAGAGCCTTCAATGGTACTTTGAAACAAAGGACAAGTTACAAAGAAGGTCAACAGAGATGCTTCAGTTGAACACTGTGTGGAAGGAGAAAACAGCAGCAGGAAACTTTTTAAAAACGTTTTTATTCTTTGGCTCTTTTTTGGTGGGCCCTCCACCTAGATTCTAAATAAATCACATGGAGTCTTATTATTACTTATAAATGCTCAGCCTTAGCTTGATTTATTTCTAGCCAGCTTTTCTTAAACTATTCTGTCTACCTCTTGCTTTTAGCTTTCTCTATTTCTGTATATCTTTCTTTACTTCTTACTCCATGACTTGCTGGGTAGCTGGCCCCTGATGTCCTCCTATTTATTCCTTCTGCCTGGCAGCCTAATCCGTCCCTCTCCTGCCTAGCTATTGGCAATCCAGCTCTTTTTTTAGAGTAATCAGGTGTTTTAGGCAGGCAAAGTAACACAGCTTCACAGAGTTAAACAAATGCAACGTAAAAGAATGAAACACATCTTTACATCATTAAAAAATATTCCACAGCATAAATGAATATAACATATCTTAAAATAATATTTCAAACAGGAAAACAAGGAGCAAAGTGTTGGGCAGGCTCTGTGGAGACATGGCGGGGTCTTGTGACTATAATGACTATAATGGCTGCCAGAGCTGTGTCAGATCAGGCTCAGCAGCCCTCAGACATGGCCAGTGTTGAGGGTCTTGTTTTGTTCTCAGGATGAACATGGAAAGGAGCTGTCAGATGAGGACATCCGGGCAGAGGCTGACACCTTCATGTTTGGAGGTGAGGGTCCCCATACAACCACAGAGGAGTCAATTCAGGGGCCTCATGGAGAATCTGCTTCAAGCCTAGATACAGCTCACCTGGCTCCTTTCACCCATTATCTGTGTCTACTCATCCATCCCTTCCTATCCTCCTGGGGCCTTTTATACATGAGCATTGCCCACCCTGTGGTGCTGAGGTGACCAGAGATCTAGGTTTGCCTGTCTTTCCCTCAGGCCATGACACCACAGCCAGTGGACTCTCCTGGACGCTGTACAACCTGGCAAGGCACCCGGAATACCAGGAGCGCTGCCGGCAGGAGGTGCGGGAGCTGCTGAGGGACCGAGAGCCTCAGGAGATTGAGTGGTGAGCTCAGGTCCTGTGGTCTCTGTTGCTGTTGTTACAGCTGTGAGTTGCCATGCTGGGTGCTACAGGGTGGCCTGGAAGTTAGTAACTTAATGCCTTCGCATTCAGGGATTGCAGGCCCATATTGGAGACCTCTCCATCCAATTTATTAATTAATTAGCTTGCATACAGTGTGTTAAGGTTCATTATGGCATTTAAAACCTAATTTGTTTTTCTTGGTTCTCATCCCCATGTCTAACATCTTCTCTATGACTTTGTTTACCCTTTTCCCTCCCACCCTTGCCTCTGTCCTTATTTTATGGCATCTCTCTCTCTACCTCTCTCTTAAACATCTTGTATTTGACCCTTTTGAAACTCTAGAATATATCCTTTGGGTCACATGTCATTTGCTTGTTAATTTGCAGCAATTCCGTGTGTGTGTGTGTGTGTGTGTGTGTGTGTGTGTGTGTGTGTGTATAAGTCAGTGATTGTCGATATCACTGGATCTCTCATCTGAATTCTAACTTGGTTCATAGTCTCATTTATTTCTTCTTTATTTGTTCTAACATTTTCTTCTCTTAGACGTTTAAACATCCTTACTGCTAGGTCATAAAGATATTGCTTCCGCTGTGCCTGTTGGGAAGGGGTTAGGTTAGCAGAGTCTTAGTAGGCTGGTAGAGTTGCATTTCTTTTCTGTACGGGGCACACCGTGTTACAGGTCGGAAGGAATGTGCTCCATGGCTCAAAATAACCTGAAGAAAGGATTTTTGAATATACTCACCACAAAGAAATGACAAGTGTTTGAAGTGACCGATTTCCTAGCTGGCTTTAAAAGTTTAGTGTTTTAGATGTAGGGAGAAAAACCTGACCTATATTTGGAGGAGACAAGCATTTTTATTTCCTGTTTTGAGACAGCTTCTCACGAAGGTACTGGTGGCTTCTAATCTGCCGTGTGGCTGAAGCTGTCCTTGACTATTCTGAGCCTCCGGCCTCCACCTCCTAAGAGCTGCAGTTCCACACCTGGCTGATGCAGTGCTTTTTGTTTGCTTATTTCTAGTTTTTTAAAAAGTCTCTTCATCTAATCTGTGTATCCGCATCCAAGCAATGTGTGTACTGTCTTCAGCAGATGCCATATCTTCAGGTATCCATGTGCCCACCTTACTCTGGAATCCACATGTCTCTTTTCATGTTCTTGCTGTGCAGTAGCATCGTTTTGAAACTTATTCTCATCTTTACTACTATGGTTTTGTAATAGGTTTTAGTAAATGGTAGGTGGGAGTCTCTAAAAAATTTTTTTTGTAGACAGAGTAACACTCTATAGCCCTAGCTGTCCTGCAACTTATTATTTAGATCAGGGTGGCCTCCAATTCAGAAATCCACCTTCCTCTGGCTCTCTTTTATTTTCAGATTGACTTTTTTGTACACTTTAACTCTCCCGATTAGAATAAGATTTTCAGGTGGGGACGCAGTTCAGTTGTGTGTACTTGCCTAGTGTGCAAGTTCTGAGGTGCCCAGTGATGGAAAAAAAAGAATCATCTCATTCTTACAATACAGAAAGAAAGAAAAGATAAAATATCAAAGTAGGGAGGCATTCATCAAGAAGGGGAAGAGGACAAAAGAGAGCAACAGAGGGTGAACATGACCAAAACACACTTCTATGAAAATGTCAACAAATAAATTTAAAAAAGAAAACAACTCTGGCAAGAGTTTGATTGGGTGATAGTGAAAATGTTGATTACTTAGAAAACCTGACACATTTATAGTAATAGATCACTCTCGCCTCGAATATGGAGTGCATCTATGTATTCAAGGCATCTTACAACATGTCTCAGGGTTCTGTTGCTGAGAAGAGACACAGTGACCAAGACAACATATAGAAGAAAGCATTTACCTGGGCTTGCTTAAAGCTTCAGAGGGTGTGAGTCTGTTATCATTATGGTGGGAACATGTTGGCGGGCAGATAACTAGCTGAGAGCTTACAGGCCGCAGGCAGAGAGGGAGAGAGGGAGAGGGAGAGACAGACTGGGACTGATGCGGGTGAGCTTTTGAAGCCTCAGAGCTCATTCTCACTGACACACCTCCTTCAACAAGGCCACACCTCCTAATGCTTCTCAGACACTTCACCAACTGGGGACTAAGAAAACAAATATATGTTTGAGCCTGTGGGGGCCGTTCTTATTCATACTACAGCATAGCACCTTATGGATATTTTTCTTTTAAAATTTAAATTACGCTTATTTATTTGTGTGTGTGCGCGCATGCGCGCGTGCATGCGTGTGTGTGCATGTATGTCTGCACACATATGTGGCAGATAGCTAGGCTGCAGTCAGTTCACCATATGTGTCCTGGGATTGACTTTATGTAACCATACTTGGTTGCGGGTGCCTTTGCCATCTGAGCTGTCTCAGAAGCCCATGAGTATTTATTTCTGCTTTTGTTATTGCATAATATAATTTTTTAAATGAGCATTTCCTGTAGCCTAGGCTGACCTTTAACTCCTGATCCTCCTGCCTCTACTTTCTGAGGCTGAGTACCTTCTCATCCAAGTCACTGAGTACAATTTTTAAAGCTTTTTCATTTTGAATGCATTGAAGCATTTAAGGATATCTTTGGAGGGGCGTGTTTCCCTATAAGCATTTCTAATAGCAGGGCAAGTGTTCTTCTGGTATTTTTGTGATTTTCGTTTTTAAGGCCTAATCTTCAATCGAGAACCATCCTTAGTAGCTGATCTCTGTAATCTCAGATTTGAAAGGTAGAAGCAGGAGGATCAGGAGTTCAATGCCATTCTCCATTGCTTGAGACTTTATTTAACAGTCAAAACAACAAGCAAACATCGTTGATTCATCTGGAGTGCAGTTGTTTGAAGGGTTGGAGAAGGTGAAGATGGTTAGTATCCCTGGACGGTAGGGAGGCTCAGTGGGGCTCTGGTTTCCCTCCTGGATAACTGTGTGGCTGTTCCTCAGGGACGACCTGGCCCGGCTGCCCTTCCTCACCATGTGCATCAAGGAGAGTCTGCGGCTGCATCCTCCGGTCACAGACCTGGTCCGGAGCTGCATCCAGGACATTGTGTTGCCTGATGGTCGAGTCATTCCCAGAGGTGCCCACACAAGCTGGGAGGAGGCCCCTGGTAGAATGATGGTCCTTAGAAGTAGCGCAGACCTGGTACTGACTGTCTGTTTCTATAAAAGGCAGCGCATGTGTCATCAGCATTTTCGGAGTGCATCACAATCCTTCAGTCTGGCCAGACCCTGAGGTGAGGCTCCTCCCTTCATCTTCAGGACTTGGGAACGGGGCAGGGCACGGTCCTACCTGGAACCTAGAGGCTGTCATTCTCTAGTCTCCTCTTCTGTCTTTGCTGAGCTGGAGAGACACAACCCATCAGCTTAGTCTTGCTTGGCACACAGGTCTACGACCCCTTCCGCTTTGACCCAGAAAACCCCCAGAAGAGGTCACCTCTGGCTTTTATTCCCTTTTCTGCCGGGCCCAGGTGAGGCGATAGGTCTTGGGGTGAAGGGGTGGAGTCTGGGAATCGCCGGGTTGTGGGTGTCCTTCCTGTCCCCTGCACAGGGTATACCAAAGCTCACCAGAGCTTGGGGTTGACCGCTTTGTGCTCAGAGCCCCGTACAATCGGTGTCCCAGGTGTGTCACTGTCCCTCCTGTCCTTCATGCTGACCAGGCGTGGTGGCGACCCGGTCAGACTGGGTCCGAGGCCTACTGTCTGGGTCCCGGCGCAGTCAGAGTCCCCGCCCCGCCATCCGCAGGAACTGCATAGGACAGACTTTCGCCATGACTGAGATGAAGGTGGCCCTGGCACTGACACTGCTGCGCTTCCGCGTCCTGCCCGACGACAAGGAGCCCCGCAGGCAGCCGGAGCTGATCCTGCGCGCGGAGGGCGGGCTGTGGCTGCGGGTGGAACCGCTGAGCACCGGGACACAGTGACCCTGCTAGCCTAGGACCTCCTCACCCATCCCCCCACCTACCTGTGTGGATCCCTGAAATAGAGTCTCACGAGTGTCAGCAGTGGGTCTACAGGAACGCAGAGATCCTGCTGGTGTGTTGCGGGGGGGGGCTGGCTTGATCCAGTCCCCCTCTGCTCTTGTTCACCGTTAGCCTTCTAGGCTGCTAAGAGTTCTCTAGCTCAAGCATGGGGTTTTATTGAAAGTAATTTTTGTTTAACTCTTTGACAATTCCGCACGTGTTTATAATGTATTTTGATCACATTCACCTCTATTTTCCTCTCTTACCCTCCTCTTGGTCTCCCACTCTGGACCCCTTCCCAGCCATTCCTTCCTATCATGTCTGGTAGCATCAAACCTGCAACACCAGCACTCAGGAGACAGAGCCTGAGAATCTGAAAACGAAGCAGTCATCTACTTTCATATGCATGGCTAAAAAAACAAAAAACCCACACATATAAACCCCCCACGTATACATATACAAATAAACAAAACACATATAAAACACACACACATACAAGGGGGTGGGAGGGAGACATGGTCTCCATGCAGTCCTGGTTGTCCCAGAGGTCCCTATGTAGACTATGCTGGTCTTGAACTCAGAGATCCCCCTCCTCTGCCTCCTGAGTGCTGGATTAAGGGTGGGGGCCACCTGGTTCCTGTTTTGTTATTGCTCCTCCTCCCTCCAGCCGCCACACCCCCTTCTTGTTTTCCTCTCTTCATTTTCCTCTCCATCCTCCTTCTTTGTCACTGAGTTTATTACAGAGTTGTTTGCATGCATGCGTCATGGGCAACTTGTCAGCAGCTACACTCCTGAGGAGGAATGGTGGCCAGTCTAGGCATAGCCATCAGCTGTCACCTGCTCCTCAGCTAGGAGTGGGACCTTGTGTGCCCTGCCCTGCCCATGATGGGTGTTCATAAGCAGGTGACCACAGCTGCAGTGAGTTCATCGGTATTATGACATTTTATGTCTGGAAGACAGGCTTTCCCAGCACTGGACCCCATCCTTCATCTCTAAATTCTGCCTCCTCTTCCTTGACGCTCTCTGAGCCTCAGGAGTGGGATGTCACTGTCCCGCTTAGGGCTGAACACTCAACAGTAGCTTATTACTAGCATTTTGACTAGTCATAGGTAACAGCTGCTCACAGCAAAAAGATGTTTCTCCTGCCAAGGTTGAGAGTAGCACTACTCTATAGGTACAGACGTAAGTATTTTGGAGGCAGTTTGACAGCACACTCATTAATCAAAACAATGGTCCCTGTGGCCCATGATCTTTCTACTCATGTGGTTTGACCGGGTTTACATCACCAGGTATGAATTCTCCTGTGGAACCAGCTTCAAATCCAAGAAAGTATTTAGTTACTATCAAAACATTCACACCGCTATGACATTAATCCACGTAACTTGCCCAGAAAGTCAGTGCCATAGCATCCAGTGATAGGTAAGTCCATTCCTAGCTGTTTGCCTCATACTCTCTGGAAGCTAGCCAGAATGGAAGAAGTTTCCAGGTCAGTTCTAGCTTGACTTCTCCGTGTCTTACAACAAAAGTATGTTGTATAATCAGCAATGAGGTGTTGCTGGATTCTGCCACCCCCCAGGTCCCACCACCCTTCTAAGCCCCAAATAAACACACAGATACTATATTAAACTGTTGGCCGATGACTAGGGATTCTTATTGGCTAGCTCTGTCTTAATTATTAACCCATTTCTATTAATCTAAGTATTTCCATGTGGTCTTATCTTACCGGAGAAGGGTCCAGACCTGTTACTCTTTTGTGGTCTACATAGTGACTCCTTCTGGTGGGCTCTCCTGCCTACCTTTCCCAGAATTCTCCTCATTTCTTAGTCCCACCTATCTTCCTGCCCTATTGGCCAAACAGTGTTTTATTCATCAACCAATAAGAAAAACATATATACAGAAGGACATCCCCCATCAATGAGGTCTTACCCAATAGTTCTGTTGGGAAACTAAGATTAATATGAATAGAGCTTGTATTGTGTTGGGGGCTTGTGGAGCATCCCTGACCAATAATCAAACATAGATTGTCCTGTAGGAGATAAAAGCAATTGTAGGTGTCTGAGGGAGGGGTCAGGTCCATGGCAGGTCTGAAGCTCTACTCTGTATTGTAAGGACTGCTATCAAATGTTTTACATGTCCATCATCATTTTGCTTGTGTCCATTGTAATCACCCATGCTTACTTTCCTGGCCAAGGTCACCTGGTATGTCTGTGATGAATGTAACCAGGCCAGTTAAAGGGTCCATGGTAAAACTTAAACTATGGCAATTTTATTGAGAGCAATCAGACTTTATCAGAAACAGAACATAATGGCAATTGCCAAGATATAGTTGTAGTTGCCAGGATACAATGAAGCTTGCAAGCTATACTGAATATACAAGATTAATGTCTAAGACCAATTGTCCTGTTAAGCGTCCATGTTCCTTGACTACTAAGGGACCATACAGAGAAACACAAAGTAGTCTGAGTACTCTACTGCATCGTGGGTGCACCAGTCTCTCAGGAACTGGAAGGCACACTGTGCCCTGGGAGTCATGGACCTGAACCTGAGACACCTATGACACTTGTCTCATAGGGCAGCTGGGCCAGGCCAACTCCATGGTTCTCTACGATCCAACATGAGTGATTCTCCTTCCTCAGTCATGATTATAGCAATGGGCTCTTATATTAGGTCTTTCGTGTCATATCTAAAGGGATATTTGTAGAGTTGAAGGACAGTTTCTCAGGAGACCGGAGTCTTGGAGCCCTTGAGGATGATGGTAAATGATGCTCATGACTTGTGATCGCCAAGGTCACTGAGGCGGCTTAGGTTTAGAGTGAGGTCACACTAGCAGGCTCATCCACCTCCTTCCATTAAAGTTCCCACCTATGCAGGGGATCTCACCCCTTTCCCTTCCCTGTCGTCTCTGGGCTTTTATTAGTCTACTCTCCTCATGAGACTATTAAAACAGACTTTCAGACATAGGATGCAATGTACCAGACTTTCTTTTAGGCCATCAACCAGCTCCCAATCAGTTCCCAAACAATGACACAGAGACTTACTATTAGTTTTGAATGCTTGGCCTAGCTTAGGCTGACTTCTGGCTAGCTCCTTCAGCTTAAATTAACCTGTTTCTCTTTATCTACCTTTTGCCTCCAGACTTTTACTTTTCTTTCCTTCTGTATATCTTACTTTTGCTGCTTCTCGTGCCTGGCTGGTGGCTGCTTGGCTTCTTGCCTGGGGTATGTCCCTCTCTTTCAGCCTCATTGTCGTCTTCATTCTTCTTGTTCTTATCAAGTCTAGATTTCTCCTCCTGTTTATTCTCTCTGCCTATAAGTCCTGCCTAGCAATTGGACATTTGGCTCTTACTTAGACAAATCAGGTGCCTTAGGCTGGGGAGGTGAAACAGTAACACATCTTTACATAGTTAACAAATGCAGCATAAACAAAAGTAACACACCTTTTCACAGTTAAAGTCATATTATGTAGCATAAACAAAAGCAACACATCTTTGCCTAGTTAAAATAACATTTGACAACAACACAGGAAGATCAAGTCAAGGTCAGTTTCAGCTATATAATGAATTACAGACAAACCTGGAATACTTGAAAAGTATGTCTCAAAAAATAAATAGATTAAAAATAGTTTCTCATTTTTCTGTCTTGATAAATGGCTTTTAAAAAATATGCTTTTTTTTGTCTAGTTGCCCATTTAGATAGATTGCTTGTGTGTGTGTGTGTGTGTGTGTGTGAGCATATGCACACACACGTGGATTGAAGAATGTGCCAGTGTGAACAGAGGCCAGAAGAAGATGTCTTGTGTCCTTTATTACTCTCTGCTGAGTCCTTTGGGGAGGAGTGTCTCTGAATCTTGGGCTCCCATCTTCTTGGCTAAGTTAGAAACCATGGAGCCCCAGCAATCCTCTTGTGTCCACTCCCCTTAGAGCTGGGATTACAGACGTGTGTGTGTGTGTGTGTGTGTGTGTGTGTGTGTGTGTGTGTGTGTGTGTGTGTGAGACGCTTAGCTTTTTATGTGCCTTCTGGGATCCAAATTCTATTCCTCGTGATTGTGTAACAAGAACTCCTAACTGCTCACCTGTCTAGCAGTCCCTTGTCGTTGAGCTATTTTGTCAATTTAGGTTTGGAGTCCAGGGTCTGTCACATGCTGCCTGAGCTCTCCCATAGCTTCATGCCCCAATAACTCTGCTCTCTTTCAGGAACCAGCTCTACTCTGTGCGAAAAGCCCTCCACGCATACACCACTTCACACACATTGCCAGGCCTCAGGGGCTTTCTGGAAGTCTGGTGCGAGCCTCCAAGTCCCTCGTCTCTCTCACACCTTTCATGCTTGAAGACCCAGTACCACTAGATGCTGCTGCTGCTGCTTAAATGGCCGTCTTCTAGCTCATTTCCCAAGAAAATCCAATTTCCCTCTGAGTCCTTGTGAACTCTGCCTTCATGGTGACCATTTCTCTCAGCATCGGGTGCCCCGGACACCAGTCAGAATGTCTCATTCAGATGTGTTTACAGTAATCTAGAAGTTTGTACCACAGAATTCCAAACACTCCCACGTTCTTTTAGTAAATCTGCCAAGTTCCTCCTACCCGCACAGCCAGATTATCACACCCATGACCTCCCCCGTTATACAAACTTTCTGAATTGAAGGGACTCCAGGCCACTTGCGCATGTGGCTCCGGCAAGCCTTGGCCTTTTCCCCATTCCCTCAGCCTTGCTAAAACAGATGACATTCTTAAAGCTAGCCACCAAGTCTATTCCCTTGTTTGGCCACATCTTCCTCCTGAGGCTGACTGACAAAGCCTGGCAATCAGAAGCCCCTTTTTTGGGTCACCTAATTAACATGTCCAATTAAAACCCTTATCCTATCATGAGATTTTCCCTTTACCTTTATAACCTGCTATTTTCCCATGTACAAGTCTGTCTCCCCTCTCCCTAGAGGCAGTCCTTTGTTCCTCCAGGACAAATGCCCCTACCCCGTTCCCTTAGTCCCCTTCTCCCTTGTCCCCTTGTCCTTTGCGACACACCCTAGCCCATTCTAACACAAGCCTCCCTTTTTCTCTTCTCAAGAATGACACCTGCAAGGTCGTTGCTGCTGTTTCCAGCTGCTGTTGCTGTTACTTTGCTTACCCGCTTAATAAAGGGTCTCTCTGTGAAAACAGGTGTTTGGTGCGGCTTGTGCCTCATCCGGGGTCTGGGAGGAAGCCCCTGCTGTGTGGGAGTCCCCTTCATGCACTAGCTACCTATCCCTTCTCAGTGATAGTGTTATGCCAAGTTCTTGAGACCCCCAAAAGACCCCCAAGGAGCCGACTCACTGATACAAATGCATAAGGTTCAATGTTAAGCTACAAGCCTCGGCAGGGACCCTGTCCAGCAAACTGGGGCAGCAGCTGCAGGAAAAGGGTCCCTGGGCTCAGTTGCAAGGGGCTTATAAAGGACAAAAAACTCAAGCAGGGTGGTTCATGCCGTGGCTGTTCAGGATGGTGACCTTTGGACTCACTGACTGGTGTCTAGGGGAATGTCAAAATTGTTACTAACAGTTGCCCACAAGGACATTTGTGATGAGCAGATATTATTTACCAGAATTGGTTATTGTTTAGACTTTTTGGACTGGGGCAGGCACAGTTTGGGTTCTCCTTGGAACTGTTTATGGTTCCTTGGCTGGAGCTGAGTCAGCCTTGTGTCACGCAGGGAATTTCTCATGGTGGCTTTTTCTTAGGATGGAGTTAACTCCATCCTCTCCAGTCTACCTTGCTCTCTCGATAGCTGGAAGAAGTAAGCTAAGAAAGGAAGGGATTCTTTTGGCTCATGGTGATGGGCCCAGTTCATCACGGTGGGAAAGTCATGATGGCAAGAGCATGAGGCAGCGGTCACATGATATCTTAAGTCAGGAAGCAAAGAGTTTGTGTGTGGTATTCAGCTCATTTCCTTTTTGTTTTTAAGACAGAGTTTCTCTGGATTGCTTTGACTGTCCTGGAAGCACTTGCCTCTGCCTCCTAAGCTGTTGGGATTAAAGCCACTGCCCAGCTCTCATTTCCTTATTTTCATTTAGCCAGGGAACACAATCCTAGTGATGAAGTTACCCTTTTCCAGAGTGGGGCTTTCATCCTGTCTGAAAGACTCTCATGGGCACCCCCAGAAATCAGCTTCCATAGTGACTCTAGGTCCAGTGAAGATGACAGTGTTGATTAACCATCATATCAGAGTCTATGTAATTTATCTGAAAGTTAAGTTTCGTTATTATGTCATGCATTTATCTTATCATGTGTAGCCCAGGTTGACCTTGGTTCATATTCCTCTTACGTCAATCTCCAGAATGGCCTGATTATAGGTGCAATCCTTGGTTAATTTTAGCTTGGCAGGTTTATTTTTAGAAACTGGGGTTGGGAAGACCAAAGTCTATATGGCCCCAGACACCTGGTGGGACTTCAGACAGATGCTGAAGCTGTGTATGCAGAGCAGACTCCCTCCTGTCTGTGAAAGTCGTGTTTGTTCTCAGGCTGGCATCAGGCCAAGGATTCACAATGTCGTATCCTGAGGAGGTCGTCAGTTCACTGTGCTCTCGACTCCAGCAGCTGTCTGAGTTCCTGTGCTCTTGAGAGAGAGGCACAGTAGAAGATAAAGCCGTCAAGAGTTTAGCCAGAGCAAGGAAGGAAGCAAGAATATACTCCTTAAAAAGGAGCCTGTGGAGGGCCCTACATAAGCATAGCATAACAGAAGCCATCTTAATATTCATACTGTACTCTTAGAGACTAACACTTAGTTAAGTTTCTGTTTCTCTGTGCCTGCTTATCTTCCTGTACAGCATATTTTCAAGGCCTGCAGTCCAGGCTCTCCCACCCTTCTGCCTCCTGGCCTGCAGTCCAGACTCCCCCAGCTGTAGACTTGTGTCCTTGGAACATACCCTGCCAAGGAGAACTTTTGCTCCCCCGCCCTTCTGCTACCTGCCCTACTTAAGCCCTGTTGGTACTTTCAATAAACGAGACTTGATCAGAATCCTATCTTGTCTCCTTCTCTCACATCTCTTGTCCCCCCATTCTCACTCCCTCCCCTAGGGTCCCTGCTGACTGACCCCGTGGGCTGGGGCAGGAGCCGTCCAGGACAAGAGATATGGCTCAGTGGTTAAGAGCACTGCACATTTTTCCAGGCTCAATTCCCAGCATCCACATGGTGGCTCAAGACTCTGTAACTCCAGTCCCACGGGCCCTTACACCTTCTTCTCTGGGAATCTTCTGGAATTAGGCATGCATGTTGTACATAGACATATATGCAGACATATAACTCAAATAAGTAAAATAAAATAAAAGGTAAAAAGGCTAGGTCAAGCTGGCCAGCCACGGCCTCAGCCCCGACAAGTGTGGGTCTTATACTGCTGTGCTCCCTGTAGTCTCCTTCCTCGTGTCTCCTCCAGTGTGGACTTTTCTAGAAAAGATGGGTGTTTCCCTCGGGTGTCTATTTCATCCAGAATTCATTCTATAATTAGCTGTGTAATTGCAAGAATTTGCATATGCTTTTAAGTGAAGCTGAAAAGTTCACTAGGGGAAAGGGAGAGAACCCTGAAAAATATCCTGGGGAGGAAGGAAGTCAAGAAGTTGTTTTATTCTGATCTCCCTATTGTTAGTATTTGGGCATCTGACAGGACGTGCCCTCAGCTGCAGCCACTGAGAGCACCTCCTGTGCACATTCACTATGTTCCCTTTTAAAAGGGCCCTGCCCACCTCCTCTCTCTCTCTCTCCCTCTCTCCCTCTCCCTCCCTCTCTCTCTCTCTCTCTCTCTCTCTCTCTCTCTCTCTCTCTCTCTCTCTCTCTCTCTCTCTCTCTCTCTCTCTCCTCTTCTGCCTGTCTCCCTGCCTCTCTCTTCTCTTCTGATGCTCCTGCTCCCAGAGGTCAGTCTCCCCTCTCTCCTCCCCCCATTTTTCCATTCACTTTCCTCCAATAAAAACCCCTCCACCATAAGAGAGACACACATGGTCCCCAGAGAAGGGGAAAGGAACAAGATCTCTTGAGCAAATTGGGAACATAGGGAGAGGGGGGAGGGATCAGAAAGATTAAGTTGAGGGAAGAACAGAGGAGAGCAAGAAAAGACATACCTTAATAGAGGGAGCCTTTATAGGTTCAAAGAGAAATCTGGCACTAGGGAAATGTCCAGGGATCCACAAGGATGACCCCAACTAACAATCTAAGCAATAGTGGAGAGGCTACCTTAAATGCCCTTCCCCTGTGATGAGATTGATGACTACCTTAAATGCCATCCTAGAGCCTTCACCTAGTAGCTGATGGAAGCAGAAACAGAGATCCACAGCTAAGCAGTGAGCCTGGAATCCAGTTGTAGAGAGGGAGGGGTGATGAGCAAAGGGGTCAAGACCATGCTGGGGAAACACACAGAAACAGCTGACCCAAGCAAGTGGGAGCTCACAGACTCCAGTCTGACAGCTGGGGAACCTGCATAGGACCAAACTAGGCCCTCTGAATGTGGGTGTCAGTTAGGGGGCCAGGGAAGTCTATGGGGCCTCTGGCAGTGGAACCAGTATTTATCCCTAGTGCTCGAATGGACTTTGGGAGCCCACTCCCCATGGAGGGACAATCTCTCAGTCTAGATACATGGGGGAGGACCTAGGCCCTGCCCCAGATGATATGACAGACTTTGATGATCCCCCATGGGAGGCCTCCCCACCTCCCTCCCCCCCCTAGGAGTGGATGGGGGTAGTGGGGGGCATGGGAGGATGGGAGGGGAAGGAACTGGGATTGATATGTAAAATAAGATTGTTTTTAATTTAAATAAAAAAAACAGAAAAAAAAAACCCTCCCTCCAAGCTCTGTTGCATGGTGTCTTTCCCTCACGGGCCTCTTTTTTAAATTACACCTATCATAGACCACTAAGTCTCTACTGGCCCTCATTTCTAGTTTTGGGGGCCCTGAGCTGACCCATCTGGATTTGCCCACTGATCTCATCGTCTGTGTCAACCGCCAATCAACTGCCTTTCCACCCTGTTTCAAGACTCTGGGCTTGTTTTTATTGGCCAGCCTTTGAGATGGCCCACACAACATTCTTTAAGTCTTGGCTCTGGGGACCTATTGGTCCCTCCTATTTGCATAACAAATGGGGAGCATGGCCATGGGTGAGTTCAGTGACTGCTAAGTCCAAGACATGACAATCTAGGACAGTTTCTAGGGGTGATGCCCCTTCCACGGGCGGGAGGATGGTTCACTGTATGCCTGCTCTTTCTGTACCACCTCGGCTCAAAGCCTCCTTCAGTCTGACTCCTTTCACCCTGAAGTATGATCCTTCAGCCTCCAGTGTGCTTTCCCAGCTGGTACTTCCCTCTCTTCCGTTAGCCAGGGCTGGATTCCCTGTTTTAGTATGGAATGCTTCTTTCCACCCAGGGGCTGGGCTGCTGGAGGACAGGACTTAGCTCTACCTGACAGTGCATCTGGTGAGCAGAGGCTTTCCAGAGCCAGTCCTGCCCTTATGTGGTGAGAAGTACTGCGTGTTGTATCCCCACCAGCCAGAAGCGGAGAGAACCTGGAGAGATGGCTTGGGACTGTCCTGTCCTGAACCAGGTCTCCTGGCAGCTGAACTTCCTCCTGCACACTTTAATCTGAAGGCCAACCGTTGGCCTTGGAAGGGCAGGGGCGGCTGTAAATTGGATGGCACAGAGCCACCTTTGGCCTTGACTCAGAAAAGCTGAATCCCAAAGATGCCCTGCCTGTGTGTGGCTGTGGCACTCCAGGCAAGCCGGGCCCAGCTCGATTTGGCCGGCTGCCCAGGCAGGAAGGAAGTGGCTGAGCCGGGGAGGCACTCATTGGTTCAGCCCAGCAGCAGCCCAGCCTCCCACAGCTCCCTGCAGTTAGGAAGCAGGAAATAAATGCGTTTCACAGGAGGCTAGAGAAAGTCTTTTGGGACAGGCTGCTCCTCAAATCAGGTACAGGCCCGGGGTGTGAGTCAAGAGAGGGCCCCGACTCTGTGATCAGGAGGAGCCTTGGGGGAGGCTCCATGGAGCCAGCTGGCATGAGCGACCCTGGGTTTGGGGGGTCTGCCTGGGGCCAGTTGCATGTACTTGAGGCAGCTTTTTCAGAATCCTAGCAGCTCTTGTCTGTGTATCCCTTCCTCTCCTGCTCCTTCTCTCACTTACTCACTCTACCTGGGTGCCTATGGACCTCCCTCCCCTTCCTCGATGCCAGTGCTCAGGAATCCTGGAGTTTCCCACAGGATCTCCTCCCCCTGTGTTTATTGGCTCTGCAGGATGCTGCTGCCCAGTGTGTCTGGGTTGGACCGGTCCTCCTTGTTGGCCTCCCCGTGGCATCTTCTCCTGTTTGGAGCGGCCTCCTGGCTTCTGGCCAGAATTCTTGCCTGGACCTACTCATACAGTGAGAACTGCTCCCGCCTCAGATGCTTCCCCCAGTCCCCTAGGAGGAGCTGGTTTTTAGGTCACCTGGGCATGGTGAGTATGCAGCAGATAGGCCTGGGGTGTCAGGGGGGATGTGTTCCCTAGGAGTCAGGAAAGGTACTCAAAGAGTGGGGCGGGGTGTGGTCAGGAGGAGTCTGAGCTGGGGGCGCACAGTGAGCCCCTCTCCCCTCCCACACCAGCACACCCTCTGTCTCATCTGTGTGCAGAGGCCTTTTTCTTTTCCCCGCTGTAGTCACCATCTCACCGGGACTGAGGGGCCCTCTGTTCTTGGGTTCTTTCCTATTCAGCAGCTCCCATGGTGGGCAGTGCAGGGTGAGCGGTGACAGCTTTCACTGTTGGACTCGAGGCCTTCCTGCGGTATGTTCAAGGCCTTGCCCTGCCTGGCCCTTCTCTCTTGATTTCAGATCGGCGCCTGCGCCTCTCTGGATTGCTACTTGCCCTGTAGGAATCAGCTGTGATTTCTCTCTCTCTTTAATTAATTTTTTTATTATTTTAATTTTAAATAGCTTGCTTCATGTGTCAATCCCAGTTCCCTCTCCTTCCCCTCCTCCTGCACCCTGCCATCCCTCCCCAGCCTCCAACCCTATTGCCACTTCCTTCCACATAGGGGATATCCAGAGTCTGTCATTTCACTCAGGGCAGGGTCCAGGCACTTCCCTAAGAGTCCAGGCAGAGAGAGCAACCCTTTTTGTGTTATGGACACACGATGTCTGTTAGTATTCGAGGGATAAACACTGATCCACTGCCCAGGGCCCCATAGGTTGCCCAGGCCTCCTCACTGACTCTCACATTGGGGGGGGGGATCTGGATCAGTTCCATGCTGGCCTCCCAGCTGTCGGACCTCTTTAATTAATTTAATTACCATTTTTTCATCATTTATTTTACATACCAACCACAGTTCCCCCTCCCTCTTCTCCTCCTGCCTCCCCATCTAGCCCCCTCCCCATCCCTTCCCCTTCTGTCTCCATTCAAAAAGGGGTGATGGGAGAGGTTCTTCTGTATCTGTGTTTCTCTTATTGGTTGATGAATAAAACACTGTTTGGCTGATAGAGACAGGAAGACAGGTGGGGCTAGGAGATGAGGAGAATTCTGGGAAAGGTAGGCAGAGAAGTGCCATGTAGACCACAAAGGAATAACAGGTCCGGGCATTGTCTGGTAAGCCAAGGCCATGTGGAAACACTTAGATTAGTAGAAATGGGCTAATAATTAAGACAGAGCTAGCCAATAAGAAGCCCTAGCCATTGACCAACGGTGTTATGATTAACATAGAGTCCCTGTGCTTATTTGGGGCTGAAGGGTGGCGGGACCTGGTAGGACAGAAAAACCATCAACAAAGGGGCAGGCCTCCCACGTGACTGAACGAAGCAGGCACATCAAGTTGAGGTCGGCCCGAGCGCCTCCCGCTGCATAGACTGTTGGAGGTAATCCAGCAGTGATTTCTTAGCTCCGTCTATAGGGGCTCTTTGTGGGGGGGGGTAGAAGAATGATTATAGTTACTCTTCCCCTTGGTCACTCTCCTTCCTCATGTTGCCCTTTGTCCTGAAGTTGCATTAGCGGACTCCGCTATACAACTTAGGTAAAAATCGAACACTTTTTAGCATTGGTCGTGAATATCCCAATCACCTAGTGTTTGTGCATGCTGGGCAACTACTCTACTCCAGAGCCAAATCTCAGCAGCACAACCACTTTCTCTCTGATATCAGTTATAACGTTACACTTGCTGGTGTGGGGAGTTCCCTGGTCCCTGGGTCCCCTTGCTCCGCGCTGCTGCGCTGGCACCCTATTGCAGAACCGCAGGTTGGGTTTCAGTGTCACGGCACCCTATTGCAGAACCGCAGGTTGGGTTTCAGTGTCACTCATCATATAGCTATCCCCTCCAGTGCTGTTCGTTAAGTACCGCTTTCTCTCAACAGAGCCCTCTTTCCTTTGACATTCTCCTTTCCCCTCCCTCATCCAACATCCCCTCAGCATCTCCCTCCCTTGTACATGCTAACTTGCGGCTTCCTGAGAGCCGGCCTTTCATCTCCACCTTAGTTCAGATTCCCATCAAGAATCAGTCTGAGGTTCTTGACCAATCAGCTTCCCTTTAGACACTAGGAAACCTGCTGCTTTCAGTGACCGCCAACTCCATGTTTTCTGTGTGTTATCCATCGTGATGCTGTCCAGTCAGAAGACATGTCAGTCCCATCCATATACCTCCCATGGCTCTTCCTGCACTAAGCCTCCAGTCTACTTGCTCTGCCATCTCCTTGTGGTTGTCCCTTCCTGGCCTGCCTCTCTTCTCTGTCACACTGGTGATTTCTAGGTCCCTGGATCCTGGCTCTGTCTCTTTCATCTCCTCACAGCTTCTCCACCTTTCCCAGAAGCTCCTATCTGGCAGGATGACATCCGCACTGGTCTCCCCTGAGCTCCCTGATCCCCTCTGTATCTAGTGCTAGGCCCTCCTTCCCTGATCTTCCCACACGGCTCCCCTGCCACCCTCTCCCGCCTTCCCTCCTCCATCTTTCTTGAAGTTGCCGCCTTACCCCAGGGTCTAGCTCCTGAGTTGGCCATCAGTTTCCTGCATAAATGACAAGACTTGGGAACCTCCATGATTCTTTGCTGCAAATCTAGGGAAATGTCTGCCCGGAGGTGGTGCTAGTGGACTCTGCTGAAGTTAGGGACAAGTGAGAGAGGTGGGCGGCATGGAATTAGCTATGGGTTCACTCCTGACTGGGGGAGAGGATTGAAGGAAGGAGGTAAGGAAGAGGAGAGAGAGATGATTTAGCCGTAGGGGAAAATCCCTTAAGAAAAAGGCCATGCACATACATTGAGGGAGGGGAGAGGGAGCGATCAGATGAAGGGAATGAAGAGAATGACAAAGGAAGCAGAATTATGTCAAAGTAATAAATACACATATGTGTATTTAGACCTACCTCTAATCATTTTCTTCTGCTACCAGTTACCTACCATGTCTCTCAACATCATATACCTATGCTATTTATCATGTATCTGTCTATATATCTACCATATAGCTATCAGCAGTCTATCATCTATCTATCTATCTATCTATCTATCTATCTATCTATCTATCTATCTTCTGCAAGCCCTCTATCAATTAGTTCATACCTCCATCACCTACTATTCAAAATGTGTGTGCGTGTGGATATATCTGTCTATCCATTGATCCGTCAATTGTCTACATCTAGGTCACAAATAAGAGATGAAAGTGGCGCATCAGAGAGAGGGATGTAAGTGGATGCATGGATACAGGGAGGGACACTCATAGTTGCACTCAGGTTAACTCCCCATGACACACAGATGCATGGCCCAAGAAGGAGGGTGAGAGGGGTGCAGCATATTGGGCAAAGGGTGGGAACATCTGAGATGTCCTGCCTGGACTGCCTCAACTTTCTCCCTCCCCAGATCCAGAGCAACGAGGAAGGCATGCAGAAGGTGACCGAGATGGGCAAGACCTTCCAAGATGTCCAGCTCCTTTGGCTGGGGCCCATCATCCCTGTGCTGAGGCTTGTTGACCCTACATATGTTGCCCCGCTGCTCCATGCCCCAGGTATCCCTTCTAGGATCCCAACCCTTCTGCCTCTTGTCCAAGTCCTTTCTACCCTGGATTGTCTAGGCTGAGCAGCAGACGGGGCCGTTTCCAACAGTGGCGGTGTCTCTGTGGTTAACCTGCTGGGTGACTGGATAAGGTCCTGAGCCTCCCTTGCTGCTGAGGTCAGCATGCGTTGTGGGGGATGGATGCTCAACCCAGTGTGACCTAAGCTAGGAAAGAGAATGTATTGACCGAGGATTCCTCAGTGGCAGAACACTTGTCTACCAGGAACAAAGCCATAGGTTGCATTCTAGAACTGAAAAAAAGAAACTTTCTCTTTGATGAATCTTTTTGCATATGTATGTGTATGCATGTGTATGGATCCACGTGCATGTGTGTGTATAAATGCACGCACGCGTATGTATGTAGATGCATGTATATGAATCCACATGCTTGTGTGTGTATGCATGTGTGTGAATCCACATGCTTGTGTGTGTGTGTGTGTGTATGTGTGTGTGTGCATGTGTATGAATCTACGTGCATGTGTGTGTGCACGTGGAGGACAGGAGGTAACCTAAGTTGCTATCCTGGGGACCTCTACATACCTTTATTGGGACAGAATCTCTCATTCCCCTGGAGCTCACCCAGGGGACTCCCCGGCCAGTAAGCCCCAGGGTCCTTCTGTCTCTAAGAAGTATTTATTTTGGAGGCATTTATTTAATTATTTTGAGGTACTGTGTAACCCTAGGTGGTTTGGAATTCACTCTGTAGACCAGGCTGGCCTTGAACTCAGAGATTCACCTGCTTCTGTCTCCCGAGTGCTGGGATTAAAGGCATGCCTGACCGTGCCAAGCCGGGCCTTTCTTTTTATTTTATATGTGTGAGTGTTTGCCTGCATGGATGCGTGTGTGCCACATGTATGCAGCGCCTCAGAGGCCATAAGTGGGTGTCAGATCCTTTGGAAGTAGAGTTACAGGTGATTGTAAGCTGCCATGTATGTGTTGAGAACTAAACCCAGGTCTTCTGGAAGCTCAGCCAGTGCTCATAGCCACTGAGCCATCTCTCGAGCCCTAGGGACTGAATCTTTAAAATGTGCTTTATTTACAAAGCTCGTGATCTGAAGACAGTGAGTCCACAGCCTTGAAAATGACTTTTCATGTCCTCTGCACGCGCAAAAGCAGACAGACCTTCCAGAGCTCAGTCCCAACCCCTGGGTTATGTGGTCAGTCTGGCATCTGAGATCCAAGGTTTCTTTCGTTATCATAATCAGCATTTCTCCCTCATCATTGATTCTCTGTGCCGCTGGGTGCAAACATTCCTGAAGATGTAGAGTTTGGTGAGCCTCTGTGGTGTTGGTCTCACACTCTTCTTGGTATTCTTCATAGTTCCCCCAGAACTGCAAACTTTTGGCAGTGTGTCTGTCTTGTACTGTTCACAATATGTGCATGCAGACTCCTTTCACAATGTGGGGTGCACATAGCTCTGTATGGGACAGAATAATGTAGTGCTTTTTTCCTTCCCTGTGTCCCCAATGAAATCCAACAGCATTCTTCCAAGAAGAGAACCTCCTGGGTGAACAGTTGAGGTTGGGGGGCGCATGTCACATAGCATGAACTCCTTTCCACCTCCTGAGTTCAGTGACTTTTGGCTGCCCCAAAAGTACCAGATGGATCAGCTGGGTCTGGCTGGTCCGGGGCTGCCTGATGGTTGGAGAGGGCAGAGGCAACTCTTTCCATTGGGCACATGGCTCTGAGAATAGGGGCGCCCTTAATTCTGAACACCTAATGCTTAGTGTGGCATAGAGGAGAGAAGTAGAGAGGTCTGGGACATATCTAGGTCACATTTGGGACCCGAGAGGGACCGTATTTAAATGCCAATCTGGGATTATCTGAAGGGCACAATTAGGTCATGCCAGACTGTTACACACCAGTGTTGTGTTGTTACATTTCAGGGGATACCATGTGTGTTGGGTTCATGTCAGGTCATGATAGCATGTGCCCCTGTCATAGATACCAGGATGTGTCAGGCCCTGTCAGAGAGCTGCAACTGACAGCGTGCCCTAGGCCTTTGCAAAGCCCGTAGAGTGCTGGATGTGCTCAGATGTGGAAGACACAGGGGATCGTGTAGCAGCCGTGTCAAGGCGTGCTGGGGTGTGTTGTTCCCAGTCAGGCTGACCTTTGCTCTCTCTGCTGCTGGTGTCTGATCTGGTTTTGTCTCACCTCTGTCCCCTTCCCTGTTCCCTTCCTACCTTCCTGTATTTGGAGGGGAAGTAGGTAGCCTCGGGAGCCCCTACCCCACCCCAAAGACCACTTTTTACCCTCTCCATGACCCCTGATTGTCCTTCTTCACGGCAGCTTTGGTGGCCCCCAAGGACATGACTTTCTTAGGCTTCCTGAAGCCCTGGCTGGGTGAGTACCTCAAGGAGAGGGTCAGGGGACACCTGGGGGTGAGGTCAGAGGAAGGTTCCACCTTTGCTCACTGCCATGGCTATCCTCCCAGGGGATGGGCTCTTCCTGAGTTCAGGTGACAAATGGAGCCGCCATCGTCGTCTGCTGACACCAGCCTTCCACTTTGACATCCTAAAGCCCTATGTGAAGATTTTTAACAAGAGTGTGAACATCATGCACGTGAGTTCCTCAAACTCAGGCTCCCATGTAGAACACCGCAGAGAAGGGAGTGACTTCAGATAGATATAGTCTGAATGTGTTTTTCTGCTGCGTGTCTTGGGGACATCATTTTTCCTCTCCAAGCCTCAGTTCCCCCATCTGTAATATGAGAGCAGTAATAAGAGTCATGCTCTTAGCATGTAGATGGGGCTCCTATCACAGTAGTATCTACTCTCCCTTGCAGAAGCCCTAGGGAGTCAAGCGGCAGGTTAAGATTGTCTATAGATGTAGCTCTTTCTGTGTAGGATACTAGTTTAGACTGCACTGCCCCTTACCTGGCCATGGTGATGCACTCCCCAGTCACAGCCCCGGGGAGACTGAGGAAGAAAGATTGTGAACTACAGGCCAGTCCAAGCTACATTAACAACAAAACCTTGTCTTGAAAAACCCAGGTCCTTCTGGGAGAAGTTGGTTGGCGTGTGGGGTGGGGGTGGAGTGGGGTGGTGGTAGCAGTGTGGAGGGGTGATTATGGTCAAAACTCATTTGAAAATGAAACTAAAGGTTTTGGGTAGAGCTGAGTTCACTCTGGGTTTTCAAGCATGGAAAATGCTGGTTGCAAAAGGGAGAAAGCAGAGACTTTACATGGATACATTGCAGAGGCTAAGAATGGAAGACTTAAAGAAACCGGGGCCATTTCTATAGCCAACTACAATTATGCTAAGCGAGGAGGACAACCATAGCTGACACTTATTGAACACTTTCTGCATATAAAATATTATGCCAGTTCCATGGCTTATGTTGAGTGATGTCATTTCCATAGTGCCATGAGGCAGAGGTGAGTATGACCATTGCATTATGCATGATGAAACCAGAGGTGAGAGAAGTCAGTGTTCTCCATGTTTACAAAAAGTAAGAGAGTGTGAATGATAGGGCAAGCCTTGAACTATTGTTTACTGGGTAACAAATCCTGTCAACTTAATTGCAGCTGAAGAGTTGACAAACAGGACCTAGGAGAAGGTAGCAAGTGGACCAAGGGCACACAGGAGGTAGAATTAGGCTCAGGTGACCTAAGGCCTGTAATAGTACCGTCCCCTGCTCCCATCAGTCAGGATTTCTCTGTGGCCAGGTGCCTAGTCTAGTGTTTAGGGTTGGGAAGCAGTTCAAGGATCAGAGGCTCAGCCCCATGTCTGTCCCCTTCTCTGGTCAGGAAAAGTGGAAGTGCCTGGCCTCGGAAGGCAGCGCCCGTCTGGAAATGTTTGAGAACATCAGCCTCATGACCCTGGACAGCCTGCAGAAATGCCTCTTTGGATTTGACAGCAACTGTCAGGAGTGAGTCCCTGTCCCAACCTTGGAACATTGGCCATGTACCAAGGAAGTAGGTTGTGGGCAGGACTGCAGTGAAGGTCAGGGACAGAGGAGAATGAGTGTCCCCCAGGGTGGACTACTCTGCGTAAGGCAAGGCAGGCAGCCGGTGAAAGAGGCCGTTCAGAAGGAGGCGTCTTCCACAGACACTGAAGGGCGTCTTACAGTTTTGTGGTAAAATATCTCAAACGGAACTAAGAAGGAAAGATTTAGTTTGTCCACTGGTTTCAGTCCACCGTGGTGGGGAATGACAGGTTCCCACCACGATGGCGGAGAAATGCAGAGAGAATGTGACTGCTCCAGCAAGCTTCTCCTCCCCTTCGCACCCTGTGACCCCATCCAGGTGGAAGAAGCTGTCCATATTCAGGGCAGGTGTTACATGCTCATTTAATTCCATCTGGAGACAAAACACCATCTCTGACATACACAGAAATGTGCTTTATTAATCTTTGGTGCTTCTTGGGGTAGTGTAGATTTTCCAAGTTAACCATTACAGAGCATTCCTAGCCCACACATCTTTTCTTTTCTTCTTCCATTCCATCCTCTCTCTTTTATCTTGACCCCATCTCAGTCTGTATTTGGTCTGGCCTGGAACTCACTATGTAGATTAGATTGGCCTTGAGCTCTGATCCTCCTGTATCTGCTTCCTGTGTGCTGGGATCACAGCCAGGAGCCACCCTTTCCAGCTAGTGGCCAGATCTTAAAGCTGTCGCCTAGGCAGAAGGGCGTGAACTCCATCCTGTGTTTCCCGGGTCGTAGGAGAAGGAGTCTGTACAGGGGTGGGATGGGGTGGTCCTAGCACAGTGAGAGTGGGCAATCTAATCAATGGAGGAGCTTCAATAGAGATACGAGGTCCAAGGAAGCAGGAGAGGAGGGTCACAAGAAACCAAGGGAGGAGAGCAGGGGTGGATGCTGAGTGAATGCGAAGAGGAAATGATGCCCGTATGTGCCCTGGATTCCTGAGGCAGGAGCTACTTGTGGGGAGCTTTGTGGATGCCCTTTTCAGGGTGGATCCTGGTCCTGAGACTCTGGCTGGAGCTTCTCTGGGACTCTGTGTGTGTGATAAGTTGCTTCCTCTCTGTGGCCTGCCCTGTAGGTCTCCCAGTGAATACATCGCTACCATCTTGGAGCTCAGCTCCCTCATAGTAAAAAGGTCCCAGAAGCTCTTCCTGTATGTGGACTTCCTGTACTACCTCACTGCTGATGGGCGGCGCTTCCGCAAGGCCTGTGACCTGGTGCATGACTTCACGGATGCTGTCATCAGGGAGAGACGCCGAACTCTCTCTAGCAAAAGTGTTGATGAGTTCCTCAAGGCCAAGTCTAAGTCCAAGACTTTGGACTTCATCGATGTGCTCTTGTTGGCCAAGGTGGGTTTATGTGGGCTACAGGAGCGTGAACGTTCATTGTACAAATTTAAGAGGTTGGACTTGACCAGGGGTACTAGGAGTTACAAATGGTGCTTATGAAAACCAGGCACAGAGCAGAGATCCATTTTAGAGGTGACTCTTATGAAGGCTGTGTTAAAAGACCAAACAGCAGGCAGGACACCCAGGAAGAAGAGGAGGCAGGCTCTGAAGAAGACAGAGGAGGCCCCTTGTGTATACAGTGGGTTTCAGAACCTGTCCTATACCACTTCAGACATGGCCAGTGTTGAGAGTCTTGTTTTCTTCAGGATGAACATGGAAAGGAGCTTTCAGACGAGGACATCAGGGCAGAAGCTGATACCTTCATGTTTGGAGGTGAGGGTCCCTGTGTGAGACTCCAGAGGAGGTAGAGGCCTGTCAATCCCATGTAGGTATCGTGGGGGAACCTAGAATCCTTCCATTCTCTCTATCCATCCCTCCCCCACCGTTCTCTGGGGACCTCACTCTCTGGGTACTGTACACTGTTGTGCTTAAACAGGCCTGAGATCCAAGCTTGCCTGTTTACCCACCCTCAGGCCATGACACCACAGCCAGTGGACTCTCCTGGATCCTGTACAACCTGGCAAGGCACCCGGAATACCAGGAGCGCTGCCGGCAGGAGGTGCAGGAGCTGCTGAGGGACCGAGAGCTTGAGGAGATTGAGTGGTGAGCACAGGTCCTTGTGGTTTCTGTTGCTGTTACTATAGTTATTGGTCACCATGTTGGGTACTACTAAGTATACTTGATATACTTGTAGTATCCCAACATCTTTATATTTAGGGATTATGTGCAAGGTTTGGACATCTCTTCGTTTACTTAATTGCACTGCACACACACAGCATGGCCCAGGTCCATTATGGCTCTTTTCAAACCCAATTTGTTTTACTTGAGTCTCTTCCTGCTGTCTGGTGAATTTCCTTTGTCTGTTGTACCATTCTTCTTTTTGTAATTCTTGGACAGTTCTTTTTCAAGCCTTGTGAAAATCCATGCTATATCTTGGTCTACTTTTCAGTACCATTTGGTTCATTGAACATACCAAGAAAAAGAAAAAAGAGAAGTGATATTCTCACCATGAAGAAATGACACATCTTTGGGACAATAGACATGCTTATTAACTTAGAGTTTGAGTGTTCCTGATGTATTGAGAGACTCTAGCCTGTATTTGGGGGGGGCCAAAATTTTTTTGTTTTGTTTTACTTTTATATAGGGTTACACTGTGTAATCCTGGCTGGCCTAGAACTCACCATGTGGATCAGGCTGGTCTCAAACTCATAGAGATTTGTCTGCCTGTCTCCAAGGTGCTGGATTTAAAAGTGTGTGCCATCATGATGGGCAAGCGTTCTGTCTGTCTGTCTGTCTGTCTGTCTGTCTGTCTGTCTGTCTGTCTATCTATCTAGACTGCTGCTTGTTGAGATAGTGACAGCCCCCAGCTTACTTTGTAACTGAGACTGACTTTGGCCTCTGGTTGTCTTGACTCCTCTTCTCCAGTCCTGGGATTCTTTGTCTGACTGCCTTTAATTCTTATTGCTATTTTTCTTAATGTCTTTCTCCAAACCACCTACCCGTTTACCAGAAGTGTGTGGAATGCCTTCTTGTGCCCATCTCGGCCCTATAGTCCACAGGTCTCCTTAGTAGCTTTAGTTTTTAAAAACTTATTTTCATTTTTATTACTACAGTTTTCTAATAGATCTTAGTGACTGGTAGGTTGTCTCTGTCTTTCATTTTTAAATTGACTTGCCTCTGCATGAACTTTAGCTCTTGTAACTGGAATGAAGTTGTTTTGTGGGGATGCAGTTAGCGGTGGACATTTGCCTATATTGCAAGCCTCTGTGAAATCCAGTCCTGGGAAAGGATTTTCAGGTTCTAAACACAAACTCCTACCCCCACCCCCATGCTCATGCAAAGCCACTTTAACTTCATCCGGTCACAAACAGGAAAGACCTCAGAATAGAAGGGAGATTGGCTAGGTCAGCAAAGGGCACTCAGCAGGAAAGGGAGGGGACCAGAGAGTACTGGAGGGTGAGTATGATCAATGTACATGCATGTCTGAAAATTTAAAAATGCATTTAAAAAAGATAGAAAAACTGCAAAAGGCTTATGGATAGTACTGAAAATTAATGTAATATAAAAAAATAATGTGGTGGTGCCACATGACTTTAATCCCAGCATATGGGAGGCAGAGGTGAGTTCAAGCCTAAATTGGCCTGTAGAACAAATTCCAAGACAGTCAGGGCTACATCTAGAAACCCTGTCTCAAAAAACTAAGATAGATAGATGAGCGCTAAGAGCCGCCAGCTTTGTAGAAGCGGGTCGTTTCTTCCATTACCACCCTCCTAGGAAGTGCACTTATTCATTTAAATAACCATATAGGCCATTAACGATCTTTATTTCTGCTCTTGTTATTTCTTTATATAGTTTATTTCTGGTGCAAAGGCTCCTATAGCCCATGCTGTCCAATTGTTTATTCCTGATCTCCCGTCCTCCATTTTTTTTGAGTATCACCACACATCCAGGTCATTATATAAAACTGTCAAAGCTTTTTTTGCATTGCACATTTCTCAAGTGGTTTAAGAATCAATTTGGAAGGGCATGCTTTAATTAGAAATATTTCATGTTAAGTTTTTTTCTTTTTCCTGGTGTTTTTGTGATGGGGTGCTAATCTTTGGCCCAGAGCCATAGATCAAAGATCTTAGTTGACCCCTGTGACCTCAAAACTTGGGAAGTGGCATGGGGGAATATCAGGAGTTCAAGACTATTCTTAGTAGCTAGAGACAAACAAACAAAGCAAACTTGTTTGCTTCGTCTGGAATACAATTTGTTATAGCACTAAGAATGAGAGGGAAATGGTTAGACTCCAAACAAGTGCCAGTGAGGCTGAGCCAGGCTTTGGTTTGCTCCTGGATAACTGTGTGGCTGTTCCTCAGGGACGACCTGGCCCAGCTGCCCTTCCTCACCATGTGCATCAAGGAGAGTCTGCGGCTGCATCCTCCCGTCATAGACCTCCTTCGCTACTGCACCCAGGACATTGTGCTGCCTGATGGCAGGGTCATCCCCAAAGGTGCCTCAGAGTCGTGGGTTAGGGGAGGTGCAGGGGGGAGGCCCCTGAGTATGGTGATGGTCCCTAGGGGCAGCTCAGACCTGATACTGACTGGATGTTCCTGTCCAACAGGGAACATCTGTATCATCAGCATCTTTGGTATCCATCACAATCCTTCAGTCTGGCCAGACCCTGAGGTGGGGGATCCTCCAGGCATTTCTGGGACCTGGGGAGGGGTGCGGCCTTAACCTGGAAACAAGAAGCTGTCCTCTCTCCATGTCTGCCTTTTCTGGGGCTGGCTGGCTGTGTTCAGAGACACAATCTAGAAATCTAAGCGTGCCTCTCCCCCAGGTCTACGACCCCTTCCGCTTTGACCCAGAAAACCCTCAGAAGAGGTCACCTTTGGCTTTTATTCCCTTCTCCGCAGGGCCCAGGTGAGGGGAGACAGTTTGTAGTGATGGGCTGGAGTCTGGGACTGTCCGTGGGATTAATGGGGAGTTGGGGTGGTTAGGTTCTGGGTCTCCTTCCCATCCTCGGCTCAGGGTGTGTGCAAAAGTCTGCAGAGTCTAGAGTTGGAAGGTGAAAGGCTAATCCAGGGGCGGCCCGGACTGGGGCAGGTTGGGTCTGAGGGTGCCTGGTTGGGTCCCAGCACAGTCAGAGTCCCCGCCCCGCCCTCCGCAGGAACTGCATAGGACAGACTTTCGCCATGGCTGAGATGAAGGTGGCCCTGGCGCTGACACTGCTGCGCTTCCGCATCCTGCCCGACGACAAGGAGCCCCGCAGGCAGCCGGAGGTGATCCTGCGCGCAGAGGGCGGGCTGTGGCTGCGGGTGGAACCGCTGAGCTCGGGTGCACAGTGATCCCCAAGCTTGGCCTGGGACCTCCTCACCCCACCCACCCACTGAACTCGGTGGATCCTAGAATAAGCCGAGCCCCGTTATGCGCCAGCAGGGGGTGCTGGAGGACAACAGAACCCACTGTGGTCTGGGCTGGTAGAGGCGAGGCTGCTGATTTTGCTGTTTGCTGATTAGCCATGCAAGTTTTACATGCTGCTGACAACTCCTTCCTCCCCCCTCCCCCTCACGTTTGCACTTCATCGTGTAAGAGCCACTGTAGCTTTTTGAGCAGAGTAGGAGAAGGAGCAGGGTCTCGGGCTGGCTTGAGACTCCTAAGCACTGAAGCAAAGCCTTAATCGCACCGTTTTCGTTTTCTTCTACCTCCTCTTCTGTTTCCTCGTATTTGAAGCGATTGTCCAGTTTCTGTCCTCTTACAGGAGTGGGCTGTTGCACTACACCTGGAGGAATATTTGTAAAGTTTGGGTAAAATGGTTTCCCAGAAAAGGGAAATCCTGGCGCCCTTGAGAAGCCCGTTAAATGATGTTCCAGGCTTGTGATACCCAAGATCATTCAGGCAGCTTAAAATGAACGAAATCACACTTCCACGATCCTTCTTTTTACTTTTGTCCTGGGCGATGTTCATTGAGAATCCCATTGACTTCACAAGAATCTTATAATTTTCCTTTCTTTTGGGCTTTGGTTTCTACTCTCCCCTCATCATGAGACCATTAAAACTGTTAGGTGGGTATCCTGAAGTCCCAGTACTTGGGAGGGCAAGACAGAGGACCATGAGTTGGAGCCTCTTTTGGAATACATAGAAAGTCTGAGACGAGCCTGGGCAGCTTGATGAAACTATGTCTCCAGAAATAAAAATTAAACCAGCTAAGATTTGGAGTTTTACGTTTTCCTGACTTGAGAAATAGACTCAGGGGTTCAAGGCTCAGTAGGATGCAGGTGAGGGGAGACCAGGCTGGGGCCAGTGAGGCCAGGAGCCAGATGTCCATTGGGGCCAGCACAGGTGTAGGGGTTGGGCTAAAACTGGAGCAGGAGGTATCTCTGAAAGAGTGTAGACGGGATGCTGGATTGCTGGCCCAGGAGGTGGCTACACACTCAGATGGCCATCAGCTGGCCTCATGCTGGCCCTCTCAGCAGGGACCACATTCCCATCTGCTCCATCTCTCCTAACCAGGCAGACAAGGAGCACTCCACTACCTGCTGTCTGTCGGCCTCAGTACCTGGCCCTCAGGTCTCCATCCTTGACCTACAAAGCAAGGCCATCGGGCCAACTACCTTGGGGGTAATTCCAGGCATAATAGTCAGCATTATGAGACTTAAGTGGACACGGTGTCCTCCCCAAGTGCCTCACCACACGCCTCCTACTGGTCCTGAGGGGAGGGCACTGTCCCTCAGTTTTGACCCCAGCAGTCATACTGAGATACATTGGCAATCCAACCAGACAGCTTTGTAGTCTAGATCCCGGCCTAACCTCTACCAACCTAGATGGCAATATGTCATCAGCTATGTCCTTAACGTCACATCCAACCTACTCAATGCCTTTGAGCAATAGTGAGTTTACCTACATCAGATCTGCAGGAGCCAGAACTTTCCCTGTTCTTCCTGGAGCCCATCCACTTCATTGATGAAGTAGTCTGTGAAGGGTGACTGTCACTGCCGCCTATCTGATGCAAAGAATGAACCTGTCTCCCAATGATGCTGGCAAGAGGAAAATGTCCAACATGTCACGTTGCCCACCTTCAGCTTTATGGGGCAGCTGCTGGCCTTTGAGAAGACACTGGAACTCAGCAGCCAGTACCACAGCCATGCACCCGGTGAACAGCTCTACCTCTCCACACTCACTACTGCAACCCGATTCTGATTCTCACGTTCACGGGAAGCCCGATGTACCATTGGGTGCAGCAGTAGGGTCTTTGAGGCCTCCACAGAGCCTGGTGTGTGTGTGTGTGTGTGTGTGTGTGTGTGTGTGTGTGTGTGTGTGTGTGTGGGTTCCCTAGCCTGCTGCCCGACCCAAGAAACCACAGATATCACCTGTGTCCAGAGAACCAGGCTAAGCAGTGGCTGAGTTCCCTTGCTGGCCTGTGGGGTGGAACCACAGCATGGCCACTTGTGGCAGGGTTTCTGGGCGTGGCTTCAGCTTTGGATACTGTGCCATAGAAGTGAGCAGTGACTTCAGCTTTCACACATATGGCTTGTGGGCCTGGGAGGCTTGTCTCTGTTCTAGGACATCCCATTCTGCTGATGCCGTGGCCAGTCTGGCCATTTTTAAGTATGTATGGACCTGAGGTTTTTTTTTTAATTTTTTATGTTCCAATCCCAGTTCCCTCTCCCTCCTCTCCTTCCACTCCCCTACTCCCCCCCCCCCACCTCCCATCTGCTCCTCGGAAAGGGTAAGGCCTCCCTTAGGAAGTTAACTAAGTCTGTGTATGGACTTGAGTTTACTTCTTACTTTGGGCAGATAAATCCAAGCTCCCTGAAGCACTGAGAGTCAATCTCCTGTTGATTTTTCTAATTCAAGGCATTATTTTTCAGGCTACATGCAACAGTGGATTGTATAAGCCCTTTCATAAAACCTGAGAGGTGTCAGGGGAGGTTCTTAGTTTCATTTCTTATTTCAAAAGTCAGCCATTGGTGTGTTTTCTTCTTCTTTTTTTTAATGGAAAAAAGAAAAACCTATGCACTTGACCCAATGTGTTTTGAACATTTCGCCATTTCCAAGCAAGCCATTCTTGAAGGGTGATGGTTTTTGCTCTTGAGGCATCAGGATTTCTGGTCACACTGTCTCCTCCACATGGCCCAACCCAGCTCAGGCCAGCTGCAAGTTGCATGTGGTGGGCATTGGTGGTCTTTGCATTGTCTGCTCACCCATTATCCTTCTGGGAGTTCAGCAGACCTCTCTGAGCCAGAAGATGCTGGCTCTGGCAAGTCCTGCTGGGGGTGGTGTGGGAGCATGTCATTGTGGAGCTACGGTTAGATGCAACTGACTTGCCCATGGTTTGTACCTAAGAGGGGAGTGTAGGTTAAGAAAGGCTAGCTAAAAACATTAAAGGAAAAGACAACAGGATAGATGCCAGGAGGGCAATTCAGTGAGTACTGAACGTGCCCGGTTTATTTTTCACCATTCTTAAATACCTTAACCAAAAAGGGGAACATGATATCATGTATATGGAACAGACTTTTCTTCCTCAATTCTCCAAGGATTCAGTTACCACACCTTATATTTAATTTCTCATTATCTGACCTTGAGGATCAGGAGTAACCACACCTCATACCCAGTCTGTAGTTATTTAGATAAGACACCCAAGGCTAAGATCAATCATCCTACTGCAGCCACGTCTTTGACCTTTAGGTCTTATGACTTGCTGAGGACAGTTTTGAACTCTCTGGCCTTTAGTCAAGATGTTCCATCTTTTTGGGCACCGACAAATTCCCCTTTCTTAATATAACTAAATAGTACCTGCACTTCTGCTACAGGACAGATGACTGTGTCTGTCTTAGGTCGTCTTCTCCCTCCTTCCAGGCTTACCCGTCGTGGGAACACACATTCCGTCATGCGTCACCTGTCTTGGGTCTCCTGAAGGCCAAAAGATCTTATCCGTCTTTGACCACCAGCCTCTGTAATAAAAGGTTAGGGGACAGTGCATAGCTTGATGCCAAGCACCTCTGAGCCAACTTTCCATGGGAGTTCACAAGCAAGCTTGACCATGCTAAGCAATGCATATGCTTTTGTGGCTACAACATCTCCTATTCAAGGAATGAAGGATGATCGAAATGAAATGGCCTTAAAATTGTTCTGGGATGTCTCCAGTACTTTTAGCTGTAACAAAATCTAAATCTGCCATCTTAATTGCATACTATCTACTGACACATAAGCATCATCATGTTAAAATCCTATCAGAATGAGCTGTGACTTTAACACATACATAGCATAGCAAAGGTTGTAAACATTAATAATTTCAGTATGATTAATAACAATAGACACATAATTGGCTGGATCACAATTCTAATAATTTTTAAATCAATCAAAGGACAATAGAATGTTCTCATAGTGAGTGAAGTATGATAAATCCACAATTCTGAACCTTTTCTTTTTGCCTCTCTTAAAGTCCAATGCACTGCTGCTTGTGATTTCCAAAGATAAGTTTGAGATAGTACAGTCCTTGGGTCCTGAAAACTGACTGCAAATCTTTTGTCCATCCCCTCTTCATGTATTGAGGACTTTTGCACACATCATTTCTACAGTAGTGTCCACCTGTCCTTATGAGTCCTTTTCCCCAAGGGGGACGACTGGCAAAGATGAGTTCTGCGTCCCAAGACGCAGTGTGGATCAACTGATGGACACTCAGTCCTTGGCCGGATCCAGGGAGAAAACTCACAGGTCTGGGAAGCTGAAGCAGCAGGCTTGTTGAGGAACTGGAAATCTTTAGTGACAGTCTTTCCTTCTCGGGCTGAAGAAGGATGACATCAGAGGGTCAGGACACAGCTTCAGCAGATCTCACTGGAATTCCTTTGGGGGGTCCCACCGTCACAGGAATGGCCTTCCTCTGCTCCACACACCTCACCAGGCGCTCTGGCAGCCATCGAGCTCTGTTTTCTTCTTCCTTCGAGAAAACACAAACATGCCCTGGACCCCATATTAAAACAGGGTCGGGTCCTTTCCGTAGTCCAGTGCAGGGATCTTTCCATTTGGCTTGAGCGAAAGTCGCTCGAGTTCCATCTTTCCAGAATCTGTCCATGGCAGATTGCTCACGGGCATCCACATTCAGAAAATTTAAAACGGAGAGGGCATGGCTTAGTGCATTATGTGGAGTCTGGGGCACAACTTTCCTTATTTCCTGAATTCATGTTTTCAAAGCTCATGGGCACGTCAATGCCATGCTCCATCTGAGTCAGCGTCTGTCTAGCAGCTTCCATGAGCTGTCTAGAGGGTCACAACTGCCCTTAAGAGTCTCACTGAGGGGGTCAGGATCTCCTGTAGACAATTTTAAATAGGTCATAATTCCCACTAGTTTTTGAGAGTATTTAACGTTTGTAAGTCATCTTTTCTAGTCCAAGATGTAAAGCTTTCATTAGCTGACATGGCCTCCTATGCATTCTCACAGACACCTTTCTAGGCGGGACCTACAGAACCACAGTTCCCTGAGTCCTCTTCTCAATAACTTCTCTCAAATCTTGTATTAACCTCCACCCTTTAGATTTCTAACCACAAAAATAGAATTTCTGAATCCTCTCCTCTGCTAAAGGCTATCCAACCGTCCATACAGGATCCTTGGGCTCTCAGGTCATGCTGGCCTTGGCCATTTCCAGCCGGTCGGCTCTGGGGACCAACTGTGGGAGGCACAGTTCGACAACCTTTCCTGTTAGACACTGTGACCTGGTGCCCTTTCTGACTGTCCACAAAGCAATTCAAGTAGTTCCTTTGTTAGGATCCATGCATTCGCATGCACACTGCACACACACGTGTGTCCACACCATACAGAACATACATACATCTTGTAGTCCTCCTTTTCCCTAGGTCATGATTAGTTTGTTGGAATAAAACATCCTTAACTGAAAACTCTTGAAATACAGCAGTTATAGTTAACCATTGAATTAAGAGCTTTCAAAATCTGAACAAATTTGAATAAATTCATCTATGTCGCCTTTTTTTCTATAACGTCTTAAAACAGTTTCTGACAGACTGCACTAATTAGCATTTTCCATATACTTGGTGGGTGGCGGCCATGGCGGCAGCTCCCAAGGCTGTGAACTTCTAGGTGTGGCCTTCCCACCAGGGACTGGCAATCTGGAGAATCTGGAGACCTTGGCTCACCTTTGCTCTCTGGGCCCGGCTGGCCTGCCGCAGGTCATCTGTGGCTGCAGCTGCTTGAAAAGTCAAAGGCCACCATTGTAGCAACTCTGAGTTCTTGGCACCCTCAGGTCCTGCTGACCTAGAGTGTATTGGGGTTGCACCTTCGCTTCTCCAAGCCCTGGCGCAGCTCTGAGACAGCTGTGGCGGTGACTTCTGCGAGGGGGAAGGATACTTACAAAATTTACAAATTCTAAAAGTTTCTGTACTTGCTTTGCTGTGCCGAAGTCACAAGGATCCCCGAAGAGACCAGGGAGACAGACCACCGATGCAAACGTACAAGGTTTATTGATTGTTCTATCCTTCCGCGGGAGGGACCCCTGTCTAGCAAGATTCCGGAGCAGGCAAAGTTCCCTGTCTACTGCTAGGTTTTAAAGACAAAAGTTACAGGATTACATCAGTAGGTATGGGTTGGTTTCTGATTGGTTGACACTTGGGGAACAATCAAGAAAAATTTCAAAGTCATGCTTTTGGCGTGTAATACCTATGTACCCATTTTTCTCATAGATTGGTGCTGGGAGGGAACATTCTGTGGTTTCTATGGGTTGTAGGTGGTCTATTGTACCAGTATTTTTCAAATCTGAATTTCCTAGAGACTACAGGAGAGTTTCTTTTGCAGTCAAACAGTCCCCAGGATCCAAGTATCTAGGAGACTGGGGGAGGGTGGGGAAGTTGGAGTTCCTTTGTGTTCAGTTTTGACCCTAGACCTGTTGCTTACAACATAGTCTCCAGGAGCTAAGGCTGGGGGAAGGGTTGATGTGGAGTTTTGGCTCTTCATTCCTCCTCTAATTTTTGGCACGAATGCAATCATGGATTTCTAAAGCTTAATTTTTAACTGTCTTCTGTTGCTAGGGGTCTGTAATGTTGTGATCATTGAACCATTAGCTGTATGGTTCCCAATCTATTCTTTGTAAACTGTATCAATCTATTCAGAATACAGGGACCAAATGTAAGCAGGAGCAGGAGGACAACCAGGGGCTCTGTTATTGTGGACATGAACGTGGTGAGCCAGGGTGAGTTATTAAACCAAGACTCAAACCATGCTTGCTGAGCCTCACGTTCTCTTCGTCTTTCTAGCCTTTCTCTGATTTTAGCCATGTTGACTTTTATGTGACCTGAATAGTCTCTGTAAAAGCAACATTCCTCCCTTAAGGCTGCACACAATCCACTTTGTTGGAGGAATAGTAAATCTAAACCCCTATGGTTTTGTGGGGCTGCCTCAGTCAGGGAGGAAAGGGAGTCTTCTAGGAGAGTAATGCAATCTTCTATTCTTTTAAGGCCATTGTCTAGGCTTGTTCTCAAAGTAAAATAATGTTGCCTCTGCTGTATGAGAACCATGGTTCCTGTCCCTATACCTGCAGCTATGTCCGAGCCTACTAAGAGGCTGAGGGTGATTGTAGTTATGGGCTGTCTTTTAGCTTTGTGGTTTTCTATGAGGTCTAATAGCTGCTCCTCCGTATGATAGATGAGTCTGGGGAGGAACTGGATTAGTATGCAGAAGCCCTTAGTCTCTTTGATTACCTTTGTGTGTGCGCAGGGAGCAGGACCTGTGGAGCATGTCCTCCAAGTATCGTGGGGGAATCAAGTATCCCTCCAGGTTAACGGTGGGATACGTTTGGTTACAGAGGTGAGCATGAGTAGGTGGTATGGAACCTTATACAGGTTCCTCATCCAGACACTTGCTGTAAAGTTAAAGAGGCTTTTGAGTACCAACTGCATTGGTCAGAATTTTTCTCAACTGAATAGCTTCCTAGGACCACTACCCCCTCATAGTATGGTGGAGCTGTGTCATAGCAGAGCCAGCAGGATTTAGTAACACTGGGATTCGTGTCATTGAGAAATGGATAAGATTGTTGGAGTACTGTTTCTAAAGTTTCTCGAGTGGAGAGCGGAGCAGAGGTGGGTTGGCTGGAACTAATGGAGCCAAACCTGGGTTTGTCTATTAAGACCTGTTTTGGACCACCAGGTTCAGCCTGGTTGCTTGGCCATTGGATTCTGAGTCATAACCCAAATAGGGCTCCATCATCCTGGCGGCTGAATACCCTGTCTTAATCCCCAGGGGCTACCTGCCTCCCATCCATCATTGTTTGTTTACCCCTTGGGGTGTAGTGTAAGACCAAGGGGTTACAGTTAGTTGCTCGGCATCCGTACAAGGTGGCTCTGCTACCAGAGCAAGAGGGGAGAGTTGAGCCTCCACTGACCTGGATAAGGTCATCTATCAGGGCGGGGGGGGGCACCAGGTGTGCCTGGTGGATGCACAAGACCAGCTTTTGCAATGATAGTAAGGGGCCCCTCCACAGGTCCCCATGTTTGAGAGGTGCCCCGGGCAAACACAGAAATGGACCAAAGATGCCTGAGGTCTGTGACAGCTGGTATAGAAATGGTTCCAGCTGTACAACTCTTGTGGCCCTTGTCACAGTGACTGTTTCCTACACCATCAGGGCAACAGTGGTCTATGAACAGCTGGCAGAGGTCAAACTAGATACTGGGATACCAAGTTCCAGGTGTGGTTATCATACAGGTCTGGTTGAGAATCTTTTCAGTTGAGACATCGTACAGTTGCCGGGTCAGGTTCTGTGGGGTGTGAGGATTGCCGTCAGCAGCCGTGGTGAGCGGGAACAGGTGTATCATGAAGAAGTGTTGTGTTGTTGGCGAAGATGCAGTTTGAGTGGGTTGTTTGAGTATTTGGACAGCTCCCATGATTCCCTCTCATAGTCCTCCAGTACCACGAAGGGATCTGCAGGTCGGGCGTGGGAATAGTGGACCCATGTGGCGATTCCGTCTAGTTTGATGGCTGTGGGGGTGGTCATCAGGATCACGAAGGGCCCTTTCCATCTTGGCTGATGCCTAGGGATGAAGACCCAGTCGCCCGGCTGCAACCTTTGGGGTTTGGGAGGAGCAGCAGATTCAGAAATGGCTTTGAGTTGAGGCCAGAATTACTGTTGGGTGCGTTGTAGCCTCTGGAGGGCATTAACAATATCTTGATCATCTAGGGTAGAAATAAGGTCACTCTGTAGACTAGGAATCATGGGAGGAGGATACTCATATATTTTTAAAGGGGTAAGGCCCATCTGGTATGAGGAGTTCCTCACTCTGAAAAGGGCAAAGGGAAGGAGAGTCACCCAGTCCGCACCAGTCTCTAAAGCTAATTTGGTTAAGGTCTCTTTTAGAGTTCTATTCATTCGTTCTACCTGTCCTGAACTTTGGGATCGGTATGCACAATGAAGTTTCCAATCTGCCCCCAGTGCAGTGGCTAGTCCCTGACTTGCCTGAGAGATAAATGCTGTCCCATTATCTGAGCCAAGCATTGCTGGAAAGCCATACCTGGGCAGGATTTCTTCAATCAGTTTCTTTTCCACTTTGTTGGCTGTCTCATGCTTGGTGGGGAAGGCCTCCGTCCATCCAGAAAAGGTGTCTACGAACACTAGCAGATATTTGTACCCAAATTTACCAGGTTTAACTTCTGGAAAGTCCAGTTCCCAATATGTACTTGGTCTTGTCCCCCTCACCCTGGTACCCGGATTGGAGGGGGAAGACACTGCATTGGTCAGCTGACAGGCTTGACAGCGTGAAACGATTTCCTCAATGGCCTGGTCTTTGGAGCAAGTCCTGCATCTTCCATATCCTCAGATGGGATGTTCTGTGGATCTTTTCAAGTATTTTTATCCCCAGCTTCCTTGGCAGGATGGGCCATCCATCAGTGTCCACCACTAGACTCCTTCATATAACCTCTGTACCATGGGCTGTTTACATATCCAGGCCAGATCCTCAGGTGTGTAGTTGGCAAATTTCTTCCTCCTGGGTCAACTAGGGTCGTCATGACTTATGAAGTTAAGGCCAATTCTCTGGCTACCTTGTCTGCGAGGTTATTTCCCATTTGTATGGATCCTGAACCTTTCTGGTGTCCTGGGAAATGGATTATGACCAATTTGGAAGGTTCCCAAAGTGCTTTTAGGAGATTTAATATCTCCTGTTTGTTTTTGGTTGTCTTTCCTTCTGCTGTAAGGAGGCCTCTTTCTTTGTACCTACTGTCATTATATATACTGAGCCTTTTGTCTTTTCCCATTTTTAAGGCTTGGATAAGAGTTATTAGTGGGGTTCTGCCCAGATGGTTTCTGAGGTGGTAGTTACTGCTGCCCCCCACCCCTCCCCTGTATATCTCTGCCTGTCCCAGATGAAGCTGCTACTCCCCTCCGTGAACCAGGTCTCTTCTGCATCTGGCAACCGTGTGTCCTGCAGATCAGGTCTAATGCAGTGTGCTTGTGCCAGGATTCTGGAACAGTCATGGAGTGGAGCATCCAAGTCAGGGTCTGGCAATAATGTAGCCGGATTAAGGGCTGCTGGAACCTGGAAGGTTATTCTAGCCGGGTTAAGGAGAAAAACTTGATAATGAGTCATTCGAGTGTTACTCAACCATCAGTCTGGAGGTTGTTTTAACACCCCTTCCAGTGCATGGGGGGCAGCAATGGTGAGGTTCTGTCCCAGGGTTAATTTGTCAGCGTCCTTAACCAACAGAGCTACAGCTGCTATAATGCGTAGGCAGGGGTGGCCACCCTGCTGTCACAGGGTCTAGTTTCTTTGATAAATATGCCACTGGTCTCTTCCAGGGCCCCACTTTTGAGTCAGTACGCCCCTTGCTACCCCATTATGTTATCCACAAACAGGTAGAAGGGCTTATTCATATCTGGCAAGCTGGTGCCTCGAGCGACTTTCGTTTCAGAGTGTCAAATGCCTGCTGCTGTTTGTCTGCCCAGGCAATGCCTGCTTTTTCCTTGGTCACCTCATATAGGGGCTTGGCTATCTCTGCAAACCCTGGGATCCAGAGGCGGCAGAACCCAGCAGTGCCCAAGAATTCCCTCACTTGTTTGGTTGAAGTGGGGGTTGGGATTTGTAGCACAGTCCCTTTGCGGGCATCTGAAAGCCATTGTTGGCCATTTATAAAGCACATTATCCCAGGTACATGACCTGTCGTTGGCAAAGTTGGGCTTTCTTTGCTGATACTCTGTACCCTAGGTCTCCCAGAATTTGTAACAGGTTCTATGTGTCTTTAAGGCATTTTTCTTAGTCAGGCACCTCAATCAGAAAGTAATCTACATATTGCAACAGACTGATGTCTGGGTTTTGGGTTCTATACTCAACCAGATCTTCATGTAATGCCTCATCAAAGATGGTGGGTGAGTTTTTAAATCCTTGGGTGAGTCGAGTCCAGGTTAACTGGACATTGATCCCAATTTCGGGGTCATGTCAGTCAAAGGCAAAATATGCTTGTCTTTTAGGGGCCAGCAGAAGGCTGAAGGAAGCATCCTTTAAATCCATTGTTGGTCTGGGGGCAGTGCTGAGTAGGGTATAGGGGTTAGGCACTGTAGGGTGAATGCTCGTCACTCTTTTGTTAACCTCTCTTAGATCCTGTACTGGCTGGTAATCATTGGTTTGAGACTTTTTTACTGGTAGTAGGGGGGTGTTCCAGGCTGACTGTATGGGCCTCAGGACCCCAAGCTCTAAAAGCTGCTGTATGTGGGGTGTAATCTCTTTCTTTGCTTCGTGGGGCATGGGTCTGGGTCTGCCCCTGACTTTATTTCAACATAAATTGGAGGCCAGTGTCATGTCAGTCCCATCGTGCCCTTCCCACATCTCCACCCATGTTAGGGAGTATTTCTGAAGCCAGTCCTTTATGTTAGGTTCAGGCTTTATTGACTCTTGGTGGATTCTGTATTCCTCTGCCAAGTTACTTGTGACCAGGACTTGAACTGGCCTCTCATCTTGATGGAGCAGAGTGGCCCCTTTATCAGAAAAATGGATCTGAGTTTTTATTTTAGTGAACAGGTCTTGACCTAAGAGGGGATAGGGACATTCTGGTATTATTAGAAACGAATGGGTTACCTGTCCCTTTCCTAAGTCTACTGTTATTCAGGTAGTCCATGAGTAGGATTTTGTCCCTGTAGCTCCTTGGACCCAGGTGGTTTTGGTAGACATGTGCCCCCTGGTTTTAGTAGGACTGAGTTTTCTGCTTCTGTGTTCACCATGAATCAACTGCTTTCCCCTCCACTTTTAGGGCTACCCTGGGCTCAGGGAGGGGGCCTGAGGCCCATCCCCCTCAGTCACTGTCCCCAATGTATACCAGTAGGACCTGGGCATTTTTGGGGTGTCTGTTCTTTTTTGGACAGTCCTTGACTCAATGTCCTTTTTATAGTAGGCACATTGGTTTTTCCCTACCTTTGGTTTAGGCTTCCATTCCTCCTCTGTGGTTTGCCGTGGAGGTTTGTTGTTACGGGGAGTTTGAGTGGCCAGGAGAATCTTCTCTAGCCTGTTCTGTTGTTCTAGAATTTTGGCAAGGCCTCTTTCCTGTTTATCTTTCCTTCTTTTTTTTGTTCTGCTGTTTCTCTCTTATTGTATGCCTTTTCTGCCACTGCCACTAGGTCCCTAATGTTCTTTTCTCCTAGTCTGTCTAATGATTGTAACTTTTTCTTGATGTCAGGTGCTGCCTGGTTGACATAGGCAAACATAACTATCTGTGCTGTCCCTTCAGCTTCAGGATCATAAGGAGTATATTTGCAGAAGGCTTCCTGAAGTCTCTCTAAATAAGCTGCTGGACTCTCATCAGGTCCCTGCCTGACATCATACACCTTAGACATGTTGGTCGGTTTCTGAGCCACCACTTTAAGACCCGCTAACAGATTCTGGTGATAGACTAGGAGCCTCTCCTTACCTTCTGCCGTGTTATAGTCCCAATCTGGGAGACTGGAGGGAAAGTTGGCACTGGCTACAGCAGGGTCAGTGGAAGGCTCCCTGGTTGACCCCAGAACCAATTTCTGGGACACTTCCAGGATTCTGTTCTGTTTCTCAGTAGTAAATAAGACTTTGAGGAGTTGTTGGTAATCATCCTAAGTGGGCTGATGAGTAAAAAGGGCAGTTTCTAAGAGGTTAATAAGGTCCCTAGGATTTTCTGAAAAGGAGGTACTCTGTGAGCGCCAGTTGTAAAGATTACTAGTGTCAAATGGCCGGTAGTGAAAGGGCTGATTCCCGCCTCATCAGGGGGGCCCGCTGGGTGAAGTGGCAGGGCAATTGCCTCTGGTTGTGGGGTTGTGCCCCTCCGACTTCTAGTTACCTGAGCTGGCCTTTGGTACAGCATTTCAGGGGGGTCTGGCATAGTAGAGTCTGGCTGTGTAGGTGAATGATTTTCTTCCTGGAGGGGTGCCTGTGGGGGTCCAAGTCAAGGAGGGGGAAGAGAGGAGCGGGGAGGAAAGATATCAGTCTCCTCTGTTCCTCCCTGGAGAATGTGCTTAGTGCCACTTCCTTCTTTATTGGGAAAGCCTGTGAGGCCGGGAGGCCACAGGGAATGGGGGGAAGGGGCAGAGGGAGCAGATGGGGGAAGAAACAGTGTAACTCAGGGAAGGGGCCCATCAATTCGATCAATGAGTCCCTGCCAAGTGACAATGTAGGGGATTTGATCAGTATATTCTGTTCAAGGTCTGAAAACAAGCTCTTTGACCCTGGAAATGAGATCTCAATTAAAAGACCCTCCAGATGGCTATCCAACGTTAAACATAGGCCATTCGTAGGAACAGAAAGTGGCCCACGTGTCCTTTTTGACATTAACATTGTTGTTATAGGCAGTTGCTCTAAAGTCGCCTCAGTGGGTCAAAGTCAAGTCAAGGGGTGAGGATGGAGTTGCACCCATTTTTAGTATTGATGGTGAGGCTGTCAACAGAAAAACCAACAGAAAAGAGACGAACACAAGTTAGACAGAAGGGCCCGAGACAGATTATCAGAATTCCGAGACAGACTGCCAGAGTTCTGCGGAATTCAGAGGGTCGGTTTTGGTCAGGCTCTATTAGACCAAAGACCGTACGAATTGGATGAAAGCTCATCAGGGGCTCATTGTCCTCAGAACTTTCAGAAAAACAGTGGGATCCAGGGATCCTGATGGGATGGCCCTAGATGGGTCCCCATTCTGACCAGGAAGAGGGAAGTCTCCTGGTTCCTTCAGGTCTACCTAATAGTGCGTCTGCCTAGGTACTTGTGACCTGCAGAGAGTTTGAGTCAGAGACGCCAGTGAGAGAAAAAGGAAAATTAACAGAACAACGTAACTTACCCAGCTGGGTGATGAAAACCTCGGGGTGGGGGGATCTGGGGTCCAGAGGGTCTCTGGGGTTCCCAGACAAGCCCCCAAATGTTATGCCCAAGTTACAAGGATCCCAAAAGAGACTAGGGAGAGAGACCACCGATGTTAATGCACAAGGTTTATTGACTGTTCTATTCTTCCTTGAGAGGGACCCTGTCTAGCAAGCTGATGCAGCCTCCAGAGGGGGTGAAGTTCCCTGTCTACTGCTAGTTTTTAAGGACAAAAGTTACAGGATTACATCAGTAGGTATGGGTTGGTTTCTGATTGGTTGACACTTGGGGAACAATCAAGAAATTTTTCAACATCTTGTTTTTGGCATGTAATACCTGTGCACACATTTTTCTCATAGGTTGGTGCTGGGAGGGAACATTCTGTGGTTTCTATGGCTTGCTGGTGGTCTATTGTACCAATATTTTTCAGAATTGAATTTCCTGAATACTACAGGGGAGTTTCTTTTGCAGTCAAACAGTCCCCAGGATCCAAGTATCTAGGAGGCTGGGGGAGGGTGGGGGGGGGTTGGAGTCCTTTGTGTTCAGTTTTGGCCTCAGGCCTGTTGCTGACAACATAGTCTCCAGGAGCTAAGGCTGGGGGAAGGGTTGATCTGGAGTTTTGGCTCATCATGCTTCTGCTTTACTCCAGTTCTCCTAGCTATTAAAATATACCCAAGTAAATATACAATCATCTGACTAGTATTTCTCTGTTTTACTTCTGCAGTTATGCAGCTTTACTCCCAATGTTCACTCACCCCCCCTTCTTTCATCGAGAGCTCTCTGCACACTTGTACACCAGCGGTGTCTACTCCTCTGCGGCATCCATCAGTCCATCACTTCTGTCCTCCAAGCTCAGTTCCATGTTGTGGTACCATGTGTGGTCACCTTCTGTGGTTGCCCCCTGTGGCTGTGCCGATATCTTATCTGTTCATGTCTTTAGTCCACACTCCTCCTCTCAGGCGCGAACCCTGGGCTGCTCGGCTGGCTCCGACTGCAGCCCTGCAAAGACAGCTTCCCACACTGTGGCACCAACCAGGATGATAAGCAGTTTCTCTTTTGAAAATTTAAATAGCCAATGTACAGAATAGTAAATATTACTATTTTTAATTTTTTAAATTAACTTTTCCCGTCCATATGTCCCTGTTGTGTGTGCATGCAGAACCTTTGGAGGTGAGAAGGCGCTGGGTCCCCTGGCACCGTAGTAACAGACAGTTGTGGGATGCCATGTGGACCCTGGTAATTGAACACGTTGAGCCCTAGTAAATATTGTTTTAAGTGCTATCTCTCTGTGTTTCATGTAAGCACAAGAAGGGCTCTGAATTCTTCCGCCTGGATCCCCATCTGCTGACGGCCCCTCCTAGCCTCGCTCGATCATACCTCCCCTCCCCTTTCCATACCTTAGCTCTACCCCAGCTCAGCCTCAGCCGTGTTCTTCTGGCTGGACTGTTGATCCCTGGAATCTGATCTAGGAAATCAGTTGTTGGACAGCTTCTAAAAGAAACGTGGCCACTGAGACCCTGCATTGCTTGGGGGCAGGACTTGACTGCTGCCCGGCTGTGGCTAGAGGTATTCTGTGGCCTCCCCATTCAGCACCGAGAAATCCTGCGGGCCTTCCTCCCAGGCCAACATGCATAGGCGCTCCAGAGAAGTTCAGGGACACGCCTGGCCCCGCCTTCCTGGCACCTGAAATCCCAAGTTAATGATTTTTTAAAAACACGATGTGCCTTGGAAGAGCAGGAGGGGCTGAAAAGGTGGGGCTCGTGTCACCTTTGTCCATACCTGTCTTGTCTCCCACCGCGAGCGGCGTTGGTCAAGTCCCGAGGATCGGGTCCCCGTGCTCAGTGTGTCCCTGACTCAATTCCACTGTGCAGCTGGCTGACTCAACCCGCTTTCCTCGGCCTCCTGCCCAGGCCAGGAGGAAACAGGTCTGGGAAGGGCTGGCTGGCCCCAAGGGGCCCCAGAAGAGAGGAGCTGCGGGGCAATCACCGTTCCTGAGGGAAGGCGCTGGGCTGGGTTGCTGGGGCTGACGGAGCTGTCCGGGGTTAGACGGAGGTCTGCCCGTGTCTGGGGTGGCTAAAGCAGGGTGGTCACAGTGCTCCGGCTGGCCCTGAGAATATGGCGGCTTCTGGGTAACACCTCCCAGTATCACTCATGCAGTCTGGGACACTGTTCAGACTCCCCTGTCCCTTTTTTCCTTTCTGTCTCTTGTCCTACTCTTCACGGCCCATTTTACTGCCTTGGGTTTCTGCCACCACGTGATTTGACACAGGGATTCCCAGTCTCCACCCCTGTCCACTGTTACAGCATGTCCCCATTGATTCCCTGAGATCCAGGAACAACTCACGTTCTGTCATCTATCTTGTAGGATGCCACCTCTGGATCTATCCTGGCTGGGACTGGGACCTGTGTCAGCCTCACCATGGCTTCTCTTTTGCTTGGTTGGGGCATCCTGGCTCTTGGCCCGCTGCCTCACCCGGATCTTCACTTTGTATGAAAAGTGTCGCCGTCTCCGAGGTTTCCCTCAGCCACCCAAGAGGAATTGGTTTTGGGGTCACCTGGGCATGGTGAGTGTGGCAACAGGAGGGTCAGGGGTGTGAGGGTGCGGGGACCTCTCAGTGACCAAGGATTTGGTAGTAGAATGTTCCGGGACTGGGTATAAGGGCACATGGACAGAGTCAGGGATTGGTGTGGGCTAGGGGCTGGGGTTTTGAGGGTGCAGAGATTTCCCCCACCGATCAGGAAATTCTGGGTAGAATGGATTTGGGCCTTTGTGTGCTCTCTCTCAGGCCTTCCCTTACGACCCCGTTTGCTGGAGAGCGCTTGGGAGAGGATGCTCAGGTCCCAAATGTTATGACTAAAGCACGTGGGGAACCTTGGCATTAGACGGGGGTGACCGAGGCGGTGGGCAAGCAAGTCAGGTAGACAGAGCTTAAGTGAGAAGTTTTATCAGAGAAGGGAGGGAGGGATGGAAGGAGAAAAGATGTAAAGAGACACAGAGACAGAGAGGACAGAAGAGAGGAGGGAGACAGGAAAAGTCCTGTCTGCCCCAGGGGAACAGCGGGAAACAGCTGGAAAGAGAGATAAAGACCATAAGTAAGCATCTGCCGACAGTCTATGCAACCGCGGAACCCTGGGCTGACCAGGGTTCTGCCTGAGTCCATTCGGCCAGGTGACAGGGGCAGGCCAGCATAGTGCCTGAATCCTTACGCCAAGGAGGATGTGTTGCTAGTGGGGGCGTGTGGAGATGGGGACGGACAGGATCTGAGGTTTAATCTGGATGACTGCCAGCAGCGATTGATTGAAAAAAGAATACACCTTTTATGCTCTGTAGTTGCACATAGGATTAAATGGGAGACAAAGGACCTGTGAGCTGGGGTGTGGCTTGAGGAATCTAACATTGACCTTGACTCTAGGCAGCAGTCACGTTAATGAAAGGGTCACAAGTCCCTCTTACCAGAGATAAGGAGAATGACTGCTTTAGCAACAGGAGCTTTCCTCAAGCCCCCAGGGAATGGAGACCCTTATCCAAATGCCTGACCTGGGGAAAAGGACTTCCTCTGTGGAGCAGACACTATACTACAGTTTCTTAGTCTTACTGTATGGGTCTGTTCCCCTCATAACACCCCCAAAAGGGAAGATCTTGATATCTTAGTGTTTTCCCATTATAGGATACCATTCTGATTTCTCTGTATTTATTAACTGAATTCTTGCCCTTAATGGCCTCAGGCTCTGGATCTGAACTGTAGGCATTTCATCCTTGGGATCAGGTGTGTTTCTGCGTGTTGGTCTAATTAGGAGGGCACAATGGGATTCCTGGTTCTCTGGTGGCAGGGATTTTTCTTTCCCAACGAATTATTTTGTTTAGAGAGGCTACCATTGTACACGCTTCTATTCTTTACCGAAGCCCGCACAAAATTTCCCAAAGGGAAAGGCATTAATCCTGAGAATCATTAAAGATGAAAGTAAAAAGGTGTTGGAGTGTGGTTTGCCACGCAGAAATGCTGGACTTTACCAACCACAGCAATGGTTGCCATCAGCCCACACCACTGTTCTCCATCCCGAGTCTTGTCTGGGTTTATTTCTAGCCCGTTTTCCTGTCTAGTACGTATTGAAGGGCTCCCAGCCCAGAACCCCTCACATTCCTACACTGTCACTGCGTAGGCCTTCTACAGGGCCCTAATTCAGAGTCAGCTTCCTGTCTGGTCCATTTCTTTCTGTTAGTCCATCTCTGGGTTTCTGCTTCAATCCAGAAGGGATTTTATGCCTCCCCCAATATACCCAGGGCATAGCTGGGCCATAGGAGAGTTCTGTTCTGATTCCCCACCTCCTGGATCATCTCTTCCTTCAGTCGCTCTTTTCTGCTACTGTGGATCATGGAGGCCTATACCACTCTAATCTAGTATTCAGGCATTGGGACTGGCCTGTCCTTGGGGTTCTGACAGGATGCACCCTCAGCTGCAGCCACTAAGAGCACCTCCTGTGCATATTCACTCTGTTCCCCTTTAAAGGGGCCCTGCCCACCTCCCATCCTTCTCTCTCTCTTTCTCTCTTTCTCTCCCCCTCTCTGTTTGTCTCCCCACTTCTGCCCCTTTTTCCTCTCTCCTGCTGCTCCCATCCCTGGAGCCTGGTCTCCCCCATCCCCTTTCCCTTTTTTATGATCCTTTTTCCCTAATTAAAAAAAACCCTCTGCTTAAACCCTGTCACACTTCGTCTTTCTCTTGAGCACTGCTTTTCTTAAATTACAACACTCTTACCCTTCCACGGGACTTCCCTGGTCCTAACGTTTATCCAACACTTGGACTTTGCCATAGGTCCATTCGCTCCATGAGCTGACTTGGTCTCAGTTGCTTCATTTACAACCAGCAGATCTCATAGCATACACACAAGTTCTTTCAACTGTGCACAGGGTCCTCTGCCCTGTGGGAGTGGTTGCTTATTAGGTGAGCTGACGTTCTCATGGAGATTTGGAGGTCCCCCTCTGCTGTCCTGGGGTCTGTTGAGGCTGTGTCACCTTTAGAGGCTCCGGTGCTTTAGCCAGTCTACATGGTTGGAACTGAAGACTTATGCTGGTAGAGATGCATGTGAGGGAAACCTTGGAGACAAACCCTGAGGCCACAGTGTAGTCCACAAATGCCCTAACAGGACCTTCCCTTGAGGCTTCTCCTGGGGGTGGAATTGATTCCACCCCAGAAAGAGGGTTTCTCTGAGGCAGGCAGTGTGACAACATAACTTTTTATTGACCATAGATGCAGGCTTGGTACCAAGACATGACTGTAGGGACAGAACAAGAAGCAGGGATCTCTTCCTCCATCCTTCAACATCCAGACACATGTTCACTGCAGAGGCTGTGTCACCTCCAGGGGCTTCAGGGGGAACCTGCTCAAGGTGCTGAGGAAGTGCATTAGTGCTCTCCAGAGAAGCAGGGGAGGGTGTGGACACACATACACACACAAACGGTAACACTCACAAACACCCCACACACAAGTGCACACACACACACGCGCGCACACACACACACACACACACACGGTAACACTCACAAACACACCCCCACACAAGTGCATGTACACACACATTCACATTCGCACACACACATGTGCACACATAAAACAATGGTAACACTCACAAACACACCCCCACACAAAAGTGTGCACACACACAAGCACATACATATGTACATCTTGTTAGTAATAGGGACAAATTTTAAATATTCATCACTGGGCAATTTTGTCATTTTACCAACATTATAGAGTATACTTAGTCAAGGTATCATGGCGGAGCCTACTGCATATCTAGGTTGTGAGAGACCACTTATTGTTCACAGTACACAAACCCATACATTGTGGTACTGTTGAGAAGATTACAGACAAGTTTTAGATCATGGTATTTACTTGGTTAAATGTATCTAAACATAAGAATAATAGCCAAAATTGTAAGCCATAGATAATCCTCAGGTCTGTTATAATTTTATGTGACCAAGGTAGTATTTACAGTCTGTTGTTGATTTAAAAAATCATTATGTGGGCTGGGGAGATGGCTCAATGGCTAATAAAAGCTCTGGCTGCTCTTCCAAAGGACCCAGGTTCAATTCCCAGCACCCAGATGGCAACTCACATCCATCTGTATCTCCAGTTCCAGGGGATCTGGCCCCCTCACACAGACATACATGCAGGCAAAACATCGATGCACATAAATATATAAGTCATTAAAATCATTATGTAGCGTAATTCTATTCATAGTTATATAGATAAACAAATACGCACACATATACACTTATAGCATGTGAAGGTATGCAAATAAGAGAGAATGAGGTAAGATAGATAGATAGATAGATAGATAGATAGATAGATTGATACAGACAGACTGACAGACAAATAGAGTTTGGACTTAAGTAATAATGGAGATTGAGAAATTCCCTAATGCCACATGCAAATTGGAAGGCCAGGCAGCTGGTGGTGTCACAGTCCTAAGACTGTTCTAAAACACAGGCCGAGTGTGGAGTGAGGTGGAGTGTCAGGTATAAATGCTGAAGTTCAAAGGTCAAAGACCTGAATTTTGATATCTGAGGGCAAGAGAAGCTGGGTGTCTCGGCTTTGGAAGCAAGAGTGAATTTCCCTTCCTCTGTCTCTCCCTTCCTTTGGATCCTCAATGGGTTGGGTGGTACTTCCCGCACGGTGGATGGCGGGTCACTGTGACACAGTCTGCTAATGTGTTGCGGAAACCCCGTCACAGATCCAGCCCGAAGTCAGCTTGCATCCTCTTCTGTGGGCATCTCTTGGCCCGTCCAGTCTGCTCCCTGAAAAGAGCCATCTCAGAAGGGATTGCCCATGTCTTCCCCCCCAGTCTTCTCCCACGGAAGAAGGCATGAAGGAGATGACCGAGCTGGTGGCCACCTATCCGCGGGGCTACATGACCTGGTTAGGCCCAGTGGTTCCCCTCATCCACCTGTGCCACCCCGACATCATCCGATCTGTCGTCAGTGCCTCAGGTACCCACGGGAGCTGGTGGCGGTGTGGCTGCGGGGATCCGAGAGCTTCCCATGCCCTGCGTGCGGATCCCGGGGCAGCCTCGTCTTCCCTTCTGCTGCCTCTCTCCGCCTTTCCGCCCTTTCACGTGCTCGCCACCCCCACGCCAGTCCCTTCTCCTCCTCTGCCGCCATTTCTTCCTCCCCGCCTGGTCCTGGCATTCTTGGTACCCTCGGGGATACTAGGAGACCCCAAGCCAGACTCAGTCCCGGGGGAACTCAACCTTGAAGAGACGGGTCCTGACAAGGACACTCCAACCACCTGTGGTCAGGAATGGTCCTCGGGAGGATGGGTGACGGCAGAATGGAGACGTGAGATCTCTGCTAGGGCAGGTAGGGAGGCCTCCTGGAGGAGGAGACATGACAGGACCAGAGTTGACCAGAGGCCAGACCAGTGAGGTCTGGGAGAGACAGAGCTAGGTGTCTGGAATGAAGGCTGGAGTGTTTAAGCAGGGCCGGGCTGCATAGGGCCCATGTATGGCTGCAGCCCAGCCATCCCCAGGCACAGCAACAAGCCCAGTTATGCTAAGGTGTGATCCAGCTGCTGTTTCCATATTCTTCCTCTCCCTGCGCTTTGCCCATTCTTATGGTCAGTCATGGCTCACCGACTAGGCCCGCAATCTCCCTTAAGGAATTCCACTCCAGCCTGGCCCGCTTACCCTGCCCCTTGGCATTACTGGCACAAGGCAGGCCGCGGAGAGAGGGGGCAGTGTTCCATAGCGACCATGGCTCTAATGTCTGCCACGCGGGCACCTGGCGCTCTTTGCATGACTAGGTCTCTGTCAGGCGTGAGTGGTAAAATCTCACCTGGTTTGATTGAAGGAAATAAAGGGAATCTATAAAGACCTTGGAGGGTGGTCTCCAGGCATGGCTGGATCCAGCTTTCAAGCAATGACATCAGACTCTGTGTTCTTAGGTCTGTTTTTACCTTCCTGAGCCCATTTCCCTTTTCACGAAAGCCTCCTCATCAAGGTCCAAGTGACGAGTCTCAGGCATTCCCTTCCATGGGGCAGCTTGCTTTTCTCCGGGAGATCCCAGGAGTTCTGGGCTTGTAATTGATTTTAATTTTTCGAGCCACAGGACAAACTCTTTTTCCCTTTGGTTTTCTGAGACCAGGTTTCTCTGGGTAACAATCCTGCCAGTCCTATAACTTGCTTTTGTAGACCAGGCTGGCTTTGAACTCCCAGAGATCTGCCAGCCTCTGCCTCCCGAGTACTGGGATTAAAGGCGTGCATTGCCAGGCCGGGCTTCTTCCTGCTTTTGTGTAGCTCTTCCTGTCTGGGCACTGCACTGGTCCCAGCTTCCCCGATGCTGAGGTATCTGTGCTGTCTCCAATTGGCCAGGTGACCTGAGGCAGGCTAGTGGGGTTGTGGCAGCCTGTGGTAGCTGAGACACAGGATATGACACAAACAATTTAAATGAGGAATGGCCTTTTGGCTAATGGTTTCAAAGTCTTTTGTGGTGATGCATACAGTTTACAACATGTTGGCCATATTGGGGAGGGAAAAGGGAAGAAGGAAGGGGGAGGGGGGAGAGAAGATACAGTCCCAGGTAACTTCTCAAGTCCCTCCAGTTAGGTCCCATGTCCTATGGGCTCCAGAGTCTTTGAAAACAGAGCCACAATCAAGGAGGCAACTTTACAACACAGGAGCTTGGGGAAATTTCACATTCAAACCATAATACCTGGTATAGTTGTCCCTAGCTAAGCATGGCTCATTCCCGGGATCATGTGAAGGTGGCCCTATCTGGGACTCCTAAGGGGCCACGGACATAGGCATGTTGAGTTCCATGTGGTTGTTTGAGCAGTTGTTTGGGATTGCATTTTTCTCCTTCTGATAACATTTTGAGCATGTTTAGGGTTGCCTGAGATCTGTCATCCAGAGTTCCACTGAGACATGATTTGAGGTTTGTGTGAGGCAGGTCTTGGTGTAGATTTGTGTCTGATGTCCAGCTGGATCACACCTGGTACACACCTGAGGGGTTAATGGGGTTATTAGTTTCTAAATCTATGTACAGATACACATGTGTGTTTATGCACATGCATTTGTGTGATCATGTGTGTGGAAGCAAGAGGCCAACATTGGGTGTTATTCTTCACGAGCCACACACCTTGTTTTGGGTCTTGGGGCTCACTCATTAGGCTGGGCTGAATGGCCAGAGATCCACTTGGATTTTGCCTCCCCAGAACTGGGATTAACAGTGCATGCCACCACACTCAACTTCTTCTGTGAAAGTTGTGGATAGCACTCAGTCATCATACTTGTATGGCAAGCACACTACCAAATCTCCCTACACCCTATGGTGACCATTTTAAGATAATTTCTGGGACACACTGAGATTCATCATACTTTATCTATGCTACATTAGGTCATGTCAGGGAGATTCTGTGTGTTTTAACCATGCTAGCACATGTTATGACATATGCATCTGTGTCACGTGTATATATTTCAGGAGATGACAGAAAGTGCTGGATGGATGGGTGTACTAGGTCTCCAGAGTGTCATGCTGTTTTGACATGCTAGACTGTGTAGGAGCCATGTGAATGCATACTTGGGTGTGTTATGCAATTTCAGGCCATACTTTCGTCTTACCTCCTCCTAAAGCTTGGTCTGGCTCCCAATTACCTCTCCTCCATTCCCTGCTACCTCTGTCCTTCTCCCCAATCTTGTCATGCTGGTTGAGGTGGACACACACACACTCCTAATGAGGGCACCACATTCTTCCCAAGTTCATCCCCTGTGCTCTCCTGGTCCCTGATCATCCTTGTTCATCATGCTAGCTGCGGTTGCCCCAAAGGACGCCATCTTCTACAGCTTCCTGAAACCCTGGCTGGGTGAGTCCCTGTAGGTGAGATGACTGGGGACAGCCCTGGGGCCCAGAGAAAGGTGCCACCTTTGCCCACTACCAATGCTCACCCTCCCAGGAGACGGGCTCTTGGTGAGTGCTGGTGACAAGTGGAGCCGCCACCGTAGCATGCTGACACCCGCCTTCCACTTCAACATCCTGAAGCCCTATGTGAAGATTTTCAATGACAGCACCAACATCATGCATGTGAGTTCCTGGTACCCAGCTTCCCAGCTGGGGACTGGGTTGGGGGTGGTGAGGGACTGCAGATAGGTCTAGTCCATGGTACTGGCCCTGAAGGGCTACACTGCAGGAAGTGGGCTAAAAATGGTGGCGCACAGTTTCCTTTCAGTTTCGCAGACACCAAATCAGATCAACTTAGGTGTTCCTAACCATGCGACAGACAAGAACTAGGAGAGGGAAATGGACTGAGCATGGGAATCAGAGCTTGGACTTGAACTCAGGACTCCTGAGCCAGCCTTGGCTCTTCATCTCCCATAGTAACAACTTCCACAATTACTCAGTTTGGGGGATCTCTGAGGCGGGGTACCTTGGGGGGAGATTCCAGAAGACTGGTTTGAGGGTGTCCATTATAGTGGTTGGGGTTGGGCAGAGTCTCCCGGGAGCCAAGATCCAACAATGTCACAGTCTCTTTTTCTACCAAGGCCAAGTGGCTGCGCCTGGCATCGGGGGGTAGCACTTGTCTGGACATGTTTGAGAACATCAGCCTCATGACCTTGGACACTTTGCAGAAATGTGTCTTCAGCTTCAACAGCAACTGTCAGGAGTGAGTTCCCACTCTGGGCCTTGGAACTTGGTCTATACAGTAAGGCAAGAGGTGAAGGGGGGAAAGCTGGCCAGAGCAGCAGAAGAGACTCCATGGAGGGTGGCTCACAGCTAACAGTGCACCAACCCCCGGGGGATGGAGCAGCCTTTCCCATGGGAAGAAACTGTTCAGAAAAAGGCACACAGACTCAGATGAGACATGGGCATCTGACATGAGGGAGCTTGGGATGAGGTTGGGAGAGCAGATGGCAACAAAAGCATAGACAGTAAAGCCAAGGAAAACGTGGAACTTCATGCTGTGGTTTCTAGGAAACCATAAAAGGTCTTCAGCACCTCTGTCTCTATAACAAAATATCTACGATTACCAAATAGAGGAGATTTTTTTTAGCTTATGTTTTCAATGCAATTTGATTTCATTGCTTTTGTGTCTGTGCCCATAATTGTATCATGGAAGGAGCATATGTTGGAGGAAACACAGGCAGCTAGGAAGCAAAGAAAGACAGAAAAATTCCAGGGTTTTAATACCCCTTTAAGGGTACCCCCATAATTGAAATGACTAAGGTAGTAGCATCCTGCTTTGACTCCATTTTTGTGTTTGCTTAGATATTTCTCAACTCTCAAACCCTTTCCCCTCAATGGTCACATCTTCCTTGGTAACACATTGAGGTTCCCATGGCCTTGACTAGGGTAAAGATGTAGTAACCAAAAGAATTGGCAAGCTATGTCTAAAATGACTGCCCTGCCAGAAATGAACATAGTAAACCAATGATGAGCTCTGGAGACGGTGGTTGCCCTTTAAAAGAAAATGGAGCTGATGTGTAAGGAACGGGCCTTAGGCCAACTGGAAGAATTGATGGGTTCTTGTCTGGATGGACTGTTGTGGAGGTTTTTGTCCTGACTGGTCCTGCTGCCCTGCTCAACCCCAAATAAACGCACAAAGACTTATATTAATTATGAAACTGTTGGCCGATGACTAGGCCTTCTTACTGGCTAGCTCTGGTCTTAATTATTAACCCATAACTACTAATCTATATATTCCTACATGGCCTTATCTTACTGGAGAGGGCCTGGTGTGTCCTATCCTCCTGGTCCCTTAAGGTGACTCATCTCTGGTGGGCTCTCCTGCCTACCTTTCCCAGAATTCTCCTCATCTCCTAGTCCCCCACCTATCTTCCTGCCTCATTGGCCAGACTGTTTTGTTCATCAACCAATAAGAGAAACATATATACAGAAGGACATCCCCCATCAGTGGACAATGTTAGGGACTGGGCAGAGCAGACTGACCCCTCTGTCTGAGAGGAAAGAGAGGGGTTTGGTGTCCATACTATGCTGTGAGAAATGCCTCCACTTATGGGAATGAAATATAGAGAGAGAAGAGATTGAGTGTTCAGGGCCCATGTCTATCATGCATTGCCATCTTTTCCAGATTAGTTGGGCTACTCTGTATCCTGTGGGGAAATCGTTCCCACCATCTGCTGAGAAATGCAGCTCAGGTTTTAGGTCTGTTGCGTTCTTGCTGCTCCTCACGTTCTCTTTGCACAGGAAGCCCAGCGAGTATATTGCTGCCATCTTGGAGCTCAGTGCCCTGGTTGTGAAAAGAAATGAACAGTTGCTTCTATACATGGACCTGCTCTATCGCCTAACGCCTGATGGGCGGCGCTTCCATAAGGCCTGCCGCCTGGTGCATGACTTCACAGATGCTGTCATCCAGGAGCGACGGCGCACTCTGCCCAGTCATGGTGGAGATGATGTCATCAAGGCCAAGGCCAAGTCCAAGACCCTGGACTTCATCGATGTGCTGCTGCTGAGCAAGGTGGGTTCTTGAGAGGTGCAGTGGCGCTTCTAAAAATTAGTTAGTCGGGGTTTTGGTTTTTTCTTCTTTTAGATAGCATCTCATGATATAGGCCGGGCTGTCCTCAATTTCACCTTCCTCTTGCCTCAGCTTCCTCGGTGCTGGGATTACAGATGCCTGTGAGCCCTTTGGCGTTCAGTAGCTTTTTTTGTTGTTGTTGTTTTTGAGACAGGGTTTCTCTGTATTGTTTTGGAGGCTATCCTGGAACCTGCTCTGTAGACCAGGCTGGCCTCGAACTCAGAGATCCTCCTGCCCCTGCCTCCCGAGTGCTGGGATTAAAGGCGTGCACCACCAACGCCCGGCCAGTAGCTTTTTTGAGCTGTGTCTTACTCCATTGCCAGGCTTATCGTCAGGGCTGGGTAAATGAATCTGCCTGCCTGCCTCAACTTCTGACACTATGTGTTGCACCGTCCCTCATGACTTAAAAAAAGATTTTTTTTTGTTTTATGTGTATAAGTGTTTGTTTACAAGTATGCATGTGTACCATATGTGTGCTTGGTACCTGCAAGAGGCCAGAAGAGAGCACTGAGTCCCCTAGAACTGAAGCTATGGATGATTGAAAGCCACCAGGTGGGTAAGGATGCTCTGAACCATTGAGCCATCTCCCCTGCCCCAACATTTTAGGATTAAAGGACAGAACGGATGCTGGTATTGAATGTGAGATGATTCAACATTTTATATTTTCAGTAATAACTTGGGCTTGATGGAGAGAACATCTAGAAGCCATGAAAGACATCTGAGGAAAAGAGAGGAACAAGTTAGAGAGAAACACATTGTAGCTAGAACACTGGGTATAGCCGGTGCAGCCTTTCTAGGTCTGAAACTGAGGGGTCTTCTTTGGTTTCTATTGCTCAGATGAAAAAAACACCATGGCCAAAATGCAAGCTGGGGAGGAAAGGGTTTGTTCAGCTCCCACCTCCAGATCACAGTGCACACTGGAGGAAGGACTCGAACCTGGAGGCAGGAGCTGATGCAGAGGCCATGGGGGGTGCTGTTTACTGGTTTGCTCCCCTGGCTTTCTCAGCCTGCTTTCCAATAGAAGCCAGGACCCCCAGCCCAGGGGCACCATCCCCATTGATCAGTAATTGAGAACATGCCTTACATATAGCTGAATCTCACGGAGGTCATTTTCTCACCTGAGGCTCCTTCTTCTCTGATGGCTCTAGCTTGTGTCAATTGACACACAAAACCAGCCACTGGGCTTTTGGAACCCCAAAGCCTACCTGTGACACACTTCCTCCATCAACAAGGCCACACCTCCTAATCCTTCCCAAACAGCTCATCAGCTGGGAAGTAAGCATGCAACTATACGGGCCTATGGGCCCTTCTCATTCAAACCACCACAACAGGATTTACGGAACAGGAGAAAACCCACATATCACGAATCATGGAGAGTTGTAGGGCGGCTGGCACATCTACGCCTTCTTTGTTTAAGAGAGGGCAATAGGATGAACGCTGAGAGGGAGGGGAAGAGGAGACCAGGAGAGGGGAAGCAAATGGAAGGGGGCAGGGGAGCAAGCAAGGGATATTAAGATGAATTCTTAGCTATAAAACAATCGATTTCTTTTTTATATGTTTTAATTTAAATTAGAAACGTGAATGTTTCACATGTCAGTCCCAGCTCGCTCTCCCACCCTTCCTCCCTTATCCCTCCACCAGCTCCCCAGCCCCCTACCCAATCCCCACATCATTCCCCAGGGAGGGTGAGACCCTCCTTGGGGGGTATCTCTAAAGTCTGTCATTTCATCCTGGGCAGGACCTGGGCCCTTCCCCATGTGTCCAGGCTAAGAGAGCATCCTTCTATTTGGAATGGGCTCCCAAAGATCATTCATAAACCATGGTAAACACTGATCTACTACCCAAGCCCCCAGTGATTTCTGTGGCCTTCTCACTGGCTCTACATTCATGGAGTCTGGATAAGTCCCCTGTTGGCCTCTCATCCATCAGTCTGGAATTCAAGAGCTCCCCCTTATTCAGTCAGCTGTCTTTGTGGGTTTCATCATCATGGTCTTGACCCCTTTGCTCATCACTCCTCCATCTCTGTCACTAGGTAAAACAATGGATTTCATTTTCATTCTCATAAATCACCCTGAATTTCTCTCAAGCTTTTTCTAAATAAAGAGGAGACTTTATTTTTGAATATGAACAACTTTAATCAAGTGTTATGGTAGATTTTGATAGCTTCCAAAGGAAATAAGATAAATTCTCTAGGCTTAGGCCCAAGAATGGGGCAGGAGAGTAGAGAAGGAATCCGAATGCAAGAAGAGAAAAGCGGAAACACATTTGAAAAAATGCTAATTGAGATAAAGAAGGGAGAAGGGACACTTACTGATCACACACAGTGTGGCATCATCTGTCCTCACACTTTGCCATCTTCCCCTATTTCTCCTGTCGTTCTAAACCTTCCAGTCCCGAAGACACAACCTTTGGTGACAAAGCAGATGGCAGTAAAGGAAGAATCCGCCAAAAGGAAAGCCACTGTCCCCACCTAGTGAGCAAAGTGAATGACTTAGAGCAGCAATTCTCAACCTTCCTAATGCTGCCACCCTTTAACACAGCTGCTAATGTTGTGGTGACCCCCAACCATAAAATTATTTTTGTTGCTGCTTCATAACTGTAATTTTGCTACTGTTATGAATCATAATATAAGTATTTTTGGAGATAGAGGTTTGCCACAGGTTGAGAACCACAAGTTGCCATGCAATGATTCTATTTGCAAAGTGGCTAGTCATTCTTTCCCACAGAAATCACTGGTCATTCAGAAATTGAAAATATCCATGGGTCTTTTAGTCCTTAAACTGGGAAAAAACAGGAGGCAAGGGAGCCAAGAACAATGCCTGTGTGCTGGGGACTCTGGTAATGGTGACTGAAAGGGAAAAGTATTTGCTCAGGACCCCCAAGACCAGGTTCTCAGCACCAAGGAGACTGATTTGTTCCAGAGGGACAGAGACAAAGACAGGAGACAGAGGACAAGGGAGAAGGGGGAGGGAACGTGGGAAAGGGAGAGGGGTATATGCATCTGAATACAGGGGAGACAGGGGTGACACATTGGAACACGGGAGTTTATAAACATACAGGGGGAAACTCCATGTTAGCATGTTAATTAGGTGAGCCAAAGGGGACCTTTGATGGCTGGACTTCAATATTTTGATAGCTGGAGCTTGGTGGTTAGCCACAGGAGGAGGAAATGGTCAAATAAGGGAGTAGACTTTGGTAGCTAGCTTTAAGAATGTAATCTAGTGGTTAATTAGCAAGGCAGAGGAAATCGGGGAGAAGGGCAAGGCCTGCCAGAGCCTGCTTGCCATGCTTAAGCTAACCAGAGTCCTTTCAGTGACCAAGAGAGATGCAGGAGTATGGAGGTCTTGTTTGCCTGGTTGGTAAAGGATCTCTGGATATTATTTTATGTTAGACACAGGAGCCTTCAGAAGTGGTGTGATGTAAGACTTTGCCTTGTTTCCAGGATGAAGATGGAAAGGAGTTGTCAGACGAGGACATCCGAGCTGAGGCTGACACCTTCATGTTTCGGGGTGAGAGTCTCAGTGTGAGACCAGAGAAGGGGTAGGAGTCTCTACATTTCAGGGATCTGGGTCTCTATCTTTTCTCCATCCCTCCTGAGGACCCCACCTCTTGAGTGCTGTCTACTTAGTGGTGCTGAAACAGCCCAGAAACCCAAGCCCAACTGTCCTCTCTTCAGGCCACGACACCACAGCCAGTGGGCTCTCCTGGGTCCTGTACAACCTAGCAAAGCACCCTGAATACCAGGAGCGATGCCGGCAGGAGGTGCGGGAGCTGCTGAGGGACCGAGAGTCTACAGACATTGAATGGTGAGTAACCCACCCCCAAGCCCCTGGTTTCCAAGGTGGGGAAGGGAACTTTTTAGATGACTCTCCTATTATTGGTTGGTGGTTGAGGCATCTGCTTCATCAGCAAGGAAAAGCCTCATGTGTGGGAACAGAAAGATGTGGGCTTCAAAGAGAATTACTGACAAAATAACACGACATGAGAGCAGATGATGCTACTTACCCCCCACACTTCTGTCCTCAATCACACTTTCCAGTGTTGTCCCTTCCTGAGAGGTTGTTCACCTGATTCCTAAATGCTTTCTTACTGTTCTTGTCAGGGATTCACAGGGGGCATCTGGGGATAAAAGTCATGCCTATGTTGTCTTGAACCTGCGACTCATCCATGCATCCGGTCACTAAAACCTCTCACGCTGCCTTTCCATTCTAATTTTGTGCCCAGCTTAGTCTGTGCTAAGGACTCAGCCCAGGGACCCGCCTTCCAGGAGCTCTCAGTGGAGAGGGAGAACAGTCTTTGGTCACGACACGGCTAGGACACACGGACAGGCACTGGGTAGAGAATAAGAGAAGCATCTGTAGGGGGAAAGGGTATGCTTCATGGGAAATCTGCGTGAGGCTGGGGGTAGGGTGCTACACCCAAGGGTGAGGCGGGCTGCTGGAGGAGGAAGAGAGTAGAATTGGGGTGGTTGACTGGGCGCAGGAGGGGTGTGGGACACAGAGAAACGGGGAAGAGGAATGGAGAAGGGGTGAGGAGGGGTAAAGAAGGGGTGAGGAGCCATGGAGGGATGGGAGAAAGAACTCTGAGAGAAGACTAGCTGAGAGGGGAGAAATACACAGGGGGAAAGGGGAGGGAGGCAGGTGGATGTCCGTGAGCTCGAGGCCAGCCTGGTGTACAGAGTGAGTTCCAGGACAGCCAGGGCCACACAGAGAAACCCTGTTCCGAACAAGGACGACGACAACAATGAACAATGTGTGATGGAAGGGTGGCTTTGAGTGAGTGGGGAAGAGTCGGAAGAGCAAACACAGTGCATCCGTTTATTCCCTTTCCTTCTCCTTTGCCATAAGAAATATTCATTTTAATGTAAATTTGTGGGTGTGAACACTGGTTTTCTCAGAAAAAGAAAAAGAAACAAAAAACAAAAACCTCTCTAAAGATGCCTGGCGTAATTTCCTCCAGCACTTTCCTAACTCTTTGCTCTTCTTGGGATTATTTTACTACTGAGGAAAGGTTAAGTGGGCAACACAGGAACTGGCTGCCTGTGTTTCGTTACTGGTTAGTTACCTGGCCTGTTCCTCAGGGACGACCTGGCCCAGATGCCCTTCCTGACCATGTGCATCAAGGAGAGTCTGCGGCTGCATCCTCCGGTGGCAATGGCCTCCCGCTGCTGCACCCAGGACATTTCCCTCCCAGATGGCAGGGTCATCCCCAAAGGTAGCCACAGAATAGGGGAGAAGGGTCCTGGGCACTGAACAAGGTTTACCAGGAAGCGAAACTTACCCGGCCTCCCCCGCCCTCCACAGGTGTCATCTGTGTCATCAATATTTTTGAAACCCATCACAACCCAACTGTGTGGCGGGACCCTGAGGTGCGCTGTGCCCCCTCCCCTGCCTCCCATTCTCGTTCATCTCTCAGTGGCCCCGGGATATCAGACCTCACTTTTCCCAGCACACGCAAGCGTCTCTGTCTGTCTCTGTCTGTGATGGTAGATGCCACTTACTCACTGTGGCTGGTCTTTTCTGCAGGTCTATGACCCCTTCCGCTTTGATCCAGAGAACATTCAGGACAGGTCACCTCTGGCTTTTATTCCCTTTTCGGCAGGACCCAGGTGAGGCCAAAGAGCTCAGGATTGTGGAGTGGGATCTGGGCCTGGGGTTGAGATGGTCGAGGTTTCTGGTCCCCTTTCCCCCACCTCCAATTCAGAGTCAAAACCGAGGTTTTGAGAGCCGGTTTGGGAACTTTCAAGAGCGGCCACGGATGCTCAAAGCGTAGCCCTCTTGCTGATTTGTATTGTGGCCTGAGCTCTGGGCAAGTTAAGCATCACATGGAGTCCCCGGTGTATTTGCAACCCTCGCTGCACCTCAGTTACATTGGGTCCTATGGTGCCTGGTTAGATCCCTGCACAGTCAGAGTCCCTACCCGACCTCCCACAGGAACTGCATAGGACAGACTTTCGCCATGAACGAGATGAAGGTGGCCCTGGCGCTGACACTGCTGCGTTTCCGCATCCTGCCTGACAAGGAGCCCCGCCGGAAGCCGGAGCTGATCCTGCGCGCGGAGGGCGGGCTGTGGCTGCGGGTGGAACCGCTGAACCAGGAGCACAGTGACCCACTATCTTTGCCCCGGACTTCCTAATAGGTAGATATGCGAGAGTCTGCCTTTGTAGACTGCAAAGCACAAACCGTGCTGTCACCCTGCAAGCAGGAGCTGTGAGGGGTCCATCCAGTGACCAGGGTGGTTGATGTGAGCCAAAGATCCCTGACTTCCTCTGCGTGGTCACAGATTCCTGTGATGAGGGTTCATTCTCTAGCCAAGCTGTACTACTCCGGGCTATTGGGAGCCAAGGGGAAGTGACCGAGCAGGACAGGGATCAGGATGAAGGGCCAGGCTGAGACTCAGATTCTCAGAGGCAAACCCTTTACACCACCTTGACCCCCATTCGAATCTCATATGTCCATCTTCTCTCATCTGGGCATTCTGATTCCGTGGGTTCCAGTTACCATGCATATTAAATCTAACAAGCCATCATTTTGCTTTGTTTTTGAGATGACGCTGCCGTGTTGCCCTGGGTCGTTCTCAAACTGCTGGCCTTAAAGGAAACTGGACCTAAACCTTCCAGCCATCTGCGACTGCAGTCTTAGGGACACCGTATGGGGCTGGTTCTTATGTACTGTGTCTGATAATTGTGGTGCTTGCCGCTTTGACTCGTGAGAGGAACCCAAGGAGGAGAAGCTGACCATGTTGGGTGATTTTCAGCACTGCGGAAAGCAACAGCACTGGCCTTGCTACTCTAACTGTTGCGGAGTTCACTGGGACATGGAGTTCAAGGTTTGACTGTCTTTCAGGCTTATGGCAGGGCCAGTTCATTAGCTTAGTGGAGCAGTCCTTGTTCAGCACATGTGAAGTCTGGCCACCCCACGTTAAAATAATGGGGGGGGCAGTAAAACAGGACTCCAGAAGAGATTTTTAAAATGTTTGGTGTTCTCCTTTGGAAGCCACATTGTTTTCTTCACCTTTATTCCTACTCCAAATGTTTTCCTTATTCCAAGGCACAGAATTCCATTTACAGAAGTAAACAAAATAGGAAAAGAATATCCTTTAGTATTCTGACATGTGAAATAATCACTGGCAGCACCATCTCATAAGATCTGGTAAAAATGAGATCAGTTTTCTCCACCTAGAGAACAAAGTCAATGCCCCAGAGCAGTGCTTAATCTGTACTTGCCTAAGTTTGATGTCAAAAGGTAGCTAGTCACATCACTTTCCAGCAACTCCAAAAGAGGTAACCCAGTTCTGGAGATACATTTTTAATTTGTTATCCGTGGATGTCTAGTAGAGGCATTGTTGCCAGTTTACAGGGTAATCCCATTTTAACACCTGCTACATATGTGTGTGTATACCTTGTAGGAAGCTTCTGCAGTACTAGGTTTCCATATTATTTTTTGAAATGCCTTTGAAATGCCTCCCCATATTCCTCATCTACCTCCCCCATTAAACTCTTCTTGTATCATTATTTCCCTTTAACACTTTATACCATTTCGTTCTGTTTTCTCCCCTAGAAATCCTGACTCCATGACTTCTTACTAATTTTCTGACCTCTGTGGTCATTCCACACATTTCTCGTCTGTTCATCTTTTGAGAACTCTGTGTTCAGTTCCATGCCTTGGTTTTTAATTGGGTTGTTGGCTTTCTTGATGATTCATCGGAACTTTGGAAGGTAGGCTAAGTGCTTTCTGTATTATGAGATGGCCACGAGCCAATAAGGACAAGAAGTAGCTTTAAAGTGATGTGTTTTACTGTCAAGTTGACAAGCAGTAGAACTGCGGTGGTTATATTGACTGTCAACACGACAGAGTCTAAATTCATGTCAGAGACAAACTTCTGTTCATGTCTCTGAGGGGTTACATAGATCAGTTAGCAACTGGACACAGCTGTGAGGGGGTATGCAGATCAGTTAGCTTCTGTTCATGTCTCTGAGGGGTTATGTAGATCAGTTAGCATCTGGGCACAGCTGTGGGGGGTTATGTAGATCAGTTGGTTTCTGGTCACAGCTGTGAGAGGTTGTGTAGATCAGTTGGTTTCTGGGCACAGCTGTGAGGGGTTATGTAGATCAGTTAGCATCTGGGCACAGCTGTGAGGGGTTATGTAGATCAGTTGGCTTCTGGGCACAGCTCTGAGGAGCTATGTTAACTGAAGTGGGAAGACCACCAGGAGAGAATAAAGGATAGGAGTGGAGCTGAGTAGCAGCATTCTTCTGCCTGTTGCCTGACTGTGGATGTGTGACCAGTTGCCCCAGTCTGCTGCCACCCCCTGTCACGATGGACGGTATCCTCCAACTGTGATCTAAAATAAACCTCCCTCCGGTTGTCTTTGTCAGTTATTTTGCCACAGCAAGGGAGATGAATAATTAATACATTCTCCATTTCCTCCTCCTTTTGTGCCTTATGTATAACTTTTAGTAATATTTAAACTCTAACAGTAGTCCAACTTCTCCCTTCCAGCCATTTTCCCCACCTTGATTTTTTTCAGATTTAATTATGATCCACATATTTACCCAGCCAAAATCCTTTCCACTCCTAGCCTTAGAAACTAATATCTTCATACACTACGTATCACCACTGTCGACTCCACCACCATGACTTATCTCCAAATAGTTATTGAAATTAAGTGAATGATGGTCTTTAACTCACTGCTATATTTGCATAGGGGAGATATCCTGGGATTGTGGTTGTGTCTACAGATCATATGCTATTCTTGGATTGATATAGACCATCATACTATTAACTATGAACCTCAACCTTCTCTAGCCTTGTCAGGGACCTCCAGCCATCAACCAGGTACGTACTCATAAGAAAAGATGTGACTCAACCCTCATAGAGAGTACGTGACTCTGGACCACCCTGCTACCTGCCAAATTCCAGAAACAGACCTGTGGCTTATCTAGGGCACAGGCTTAAACCGTAGAAGGTGGAATGTGAAAGATACAGTTAGAGTCTGCAGTTAGGTTACCTGAGGATACAGGATGCCCTACCCATCCCACTGACCTTCTCTCCTCCAGGTTCATCGCAGCTACAGCACATCCCCATTCCTTCCCCTCCTCCCTTCCCCTATATAAATCCCTTTGGGATGAATAAAGTTGTCACCTTGATTAGACTCTTGACTTAGCATCCGTCCTTGTATCCCCTGCCCCCCATCTTTTTCCTAGGTGTCCACCAGACCCATGTTGAGTGTCCTGTGGGTCTGGACATAGCCTAGCCTCATTTTATTACTGCTCATTCAGCAGCTGAAAGAATAAAGCTGAATAAAGGAAATCCAACCAATGAAATAATAGTAGAGGCTCAATTTTGGCTCAAAGATATAAAGGCTATGAAAAAATCAAGGCAATAGAACCATTCTAAAAATATAGATCCAGAGCAATAAATTCTTTGTGAACAAATTAGAAGAAACAGAAGCAAGATATTTTAAAAAGATTATTGTAAGAATGATTAATAAAATAAAAAGAAAATACTAACACTTGGATGGTATCTGAGCATGTCCGTATGTGGTATGTATGCGTGTGTGTGTGTGTGTGTGTGTGTGTGTGTGTGTGTGTGTGTGTGTGTTTGTGCGGTGTGTGTATGTGGTGTATGCGAGCTCTGTGTGTTGGGGAGGGATATATGTGGTATGTGTGTGTTGGAACCAATGAGTGACTAAGCTGTTCACACAGGGTTATGCTCATGGCTGAAGCTGCTGTCAGAGTCCCCAGACCTCATACCCCCAGGCCTGACTCTTGTAACAAAGACCACATAGTTCAGAGAAACACTGACCTTCAAAGCAGCTGAAGCTCTCAGGGACAGTATGGCTGGGTAATCGCAGCTCCCCCACTCTGGGTAAGATGGCTCTGAGGTGTACCTGTGTGCTTTCTGTCTTCTGGAGCTCCCATCATGTGTGAACCCTGGCTGCCTCTGTGGCAACCTCCTTCCTCAGCTGCCTCTCTCTCCTGCCTTCTCAACCCATCTGACTTCCTCACTGTCTTACTGGTGTCCAGCTCTCTCCCAACGAGACACCTGGCAATTGAAACCTGTGTTTGAATAGCACCCAAAAAATTTATTTGAACTTGGCCTCTCACATCAGGGTCTGCTTTTGCAGAACACTTATTCGGTGACCATCCAGCAATCCTCACAGATATACCCTTTCCATGAGGTTGAGAGAGGCTGGCTTGTGTAGCCAAGATCACACAGCTGGAGAATGAAAAACCCCAGGTTTTTGGAGTTTCTGATCCAAAGTCACATGCTCACATCTTTAGTAAAAGATTATCAAGGGCCAGGAAATGTAAATGTATGTTTACAAACAAGTAGTTCCCTGACGAATGTGGCAAAGGGACCAAACTGTCTTTATTCTGTCACAAAATAATAATGACAGACAGAAAGGAGCTCCCTGCTGGGTGTTGCTTGGTTTAACTTATTTAATATTCATGAAACCTTGATATGCCCTTCGATCTGTACGCGAGAAAACATCAAAATGAGTAGAAGTGATAAGAACCGCACAATCTCTGCGTTAGCCTTTGTTCAGAAACCACATCTACGAGTCCCACCACATGCTAGGCATGGCTTGAGACGGTGCTCTCAAAATTTAAATGAAAATAATACAGAATAGCGAATATTATAAAGTGACATTCATACTTCATATAAAGGAAGATTTTACTAGGAACAGCTAAGTGAGAGGGATATGGTAATCTGACACAATTACATTTGAGTTTAGTAAGATTTCTCCAAAATACAGGGATGATGAAAATATAATAATGCAAATGGGAGAAGAGCTTTTCTTTCGTCCTTACTGCCCAGTCCTGAGTAAACATACAAAAGTGTAGAGATACAGGGCTGGCTTAGAGAGGTGCAGGCTCCTCTTGAGTCAAATGAGGCAAAGTCTGAGGCATGAGACTTGGCATACAGAATAGCTGCAAGCACACTTCTGCTGACATGTTTCCAACGATCTGCTGGAATTTGTTACTCAAGATAAGGAAGTGGCTCTCTGGGCCAGTGAACTGTGCTCCACTGTTCTTCAGATAAAGGTGAATTGCTTGTTGCTACATAATACTTTAAATACAGTAGACACATTGTTTCATAGGGAGAGACATCTCCTGATGCCTTGTGTAGTATTGCGGTTTGAAGATTGTGAGACAGCTTGCATAAGCTCATGCATAAAAGTTCTGCAAAAATAAATTTTGACATGCAGTCGCTTCTACTCTGCATCCCCTGGGTCTTGGTTTCGGTGAGACCTTACCCAGGGACCCCAATGCACTAGACATTGACACAAAAGCTTATATTAATTGCTGAATGGGCTGCCTATAGCTCAGGCTTATTACTAACTAGCTCTTACAAGCTAAAGTAACCAATTCCTATTCATCTATATCTTGGCACCTGGCTGGAGGCTTTACCTGTCCTCTAGCATCTTGCTTCCCCAGCAGCTGCTTGCATCTCTCTCTGACTCCTCCCTTCTTCTCTGTATTTTCAGTTTGGCTTATCCTCCTAGTCTTATTCTGCCTCGCTATAGGCCAAATCAGCCTTTTCATTAACCAATGAGAGTCAAACATGTTCACAGCATACAGAAGGATTATCCCACAGCATAATAACATAGTGAAATGAGATGATGACAATGGCAATAAAATAAAATCAAGGGTTCTGTAGAGATATGGATTGTTAAGTCGTGTTTTGATATGAGGTGTGCTTAGGGTTCATCAGAGTTACTAGAGGCATTAGGTATTCTTCCCCCAGTTGGTGTCTGGTGTCTGCTTGCTTCAGAACTCCGGTTAGAAAAGTTCTATGTGATGGAGTCTAGGGTGGGGAAAGAGGTTCATTGAATGAGGCTTTGTGTCTTAGGCCTATGAGATGGGAATTGTGAGAGGGGTATAGGTTCCAGACTATAAGAAAAGGAATTTCTTATGACCAGGAGATTGTAATGACTGCTGTCTTGGTTGGAGAGATGGCTCAGAAGTTGAGAGCGTTTGCTGCTCTTGCAGAGAACTGGGATACTATTCCAAGCATCTGCATGGTGGCTCACAGCCATCTGTAACTCCAATTCCAGGAGATTGGACGCCCTTTCTGGCCTCCCTGGGCACTGCAGGCATGTGAACTGACATACATTCAGGAAAGATATCCATTCATATAAAAAGAAGCAAACAAAAACACTGACTTGTGCCAAATCAGTATACAGTCATCATATTTTGCCTTTTCTATAAGCTGTATATTACAAAAGCCTTCATTTTCACTTGTTTCTTTAATTTGTTACCTTATTTCCAGCTCTGTCCTCCCCTTCTTGACCTTGTCTGCAAAGGTCACCTCTCAGGCTCATCCCCACATGCCTTCCCTCCTCCCCAGCTCCAGTCTACAGTCAAACCAACCTCATCTATGTCCTTCTAGCTGGGCTGTTGATCTCACCAATAAGACCTGGGAAATCAATAATTGAACATATTCGAAGAGAAAGCTGCCCACTAAGACACTGGGCTGGCTGTAGTTGGGACTTGACCTCTGCCTGGTGTGCAGCTGGTGAACAGGCATTCTGGAACCTCTAAGTTCTGCACCAAGAAACCCTGTAGGTCTTCTTCCTTCATACCAACGTTCAGAGGAGCTCCTAAGAAGTTCATGGGACAGGCCTGGCCCTGGTCTTCTGGCACCTGAAGTCCAAAGTTAATGATTATACTAGATATGCTCTTGAAAGGGCAGGGACAACTGTAAATATGGGATTTACAGAGCCACTTTTGCACTTCCATAGTCTTCCCCACAAATACATGGGAGGGTCTGGTTCCTAGGCTGTGTGTACCTGACTTGGTTCCTCTCTGCAACTGGGTAACCTAACCCCGTTCTCCTCGGTCTTCTGCCGAGGGAGGGGGGGAGGGATTGGTTGGCACAGCTGATCCAGCATCCCCATCACCTCTTCCAGATTAGGATCCAGGAACAACGAGGCCACCGAGGACAGAGAGGAGCTGTGGGAAAGACTCTGCCCCCAAAGAAGGTGCTGGGCTAGGGAGGGGGTGCTGGGAGGTACTGCCCTGGATTAGAAAGAGCTCAGCACACGTCTGGGGTGCTGTTAGGGACCCAGGTGGTTAAAGCAGGGTGGCCGCAGTGCTCCGGTCAGCTGAGGTGGTGGTGGTTTCTGGGCTGGACACTGGGCTGTCATTCAGGCAATCTGGGGTAGTAGCCAGGGTTCCTCTTTGTACTCTGTCTTCTGCTTCCTCGTCATCCTCTTCACAACCTGTCCCTCCCCCCATTTTCCCTGCATCGCTTTGGATTCTGCTGCCTCCTGCTCTGACACCTGCATCCCAAGTTGTTATGTGGCCTGTCTCTGGACATCCCTTTCCATCTGAGCCTCAGGAACCCACACTTTCTCATCTTTCCTGTAGAATTCCTCAGTTGGACCTGTCCTGGCTGGGATTGGGGCTTCTGTCAGCTTCACCATGGCTGCTCTTTCTTTTGTTTGGGGCTTCCTGGCTCTCAGCCCACAGCCTCACCCAGATCCATATGTTGTATGAAAGGCATGGTTTCCCTCGTCCACCCAAGGGGATTTGGTATTTTGGGTATGATGAATGTGACACCAGTATGTGTCTGTATATGAGAGTCTAGGAACCTTCCAAGGGTCATGGGATGGGATGGGCTTATGTCTGTGTATGAGGGTACACGAACTCCCAGGGTTGAGGAGTTGAGGGTAAGATGGCCTGGTGTCTGGGTTTGAGGGTGTAGGAATCTCCCAGGGATCAGAGAGTTGGGGATGGGTATGAGTGTTCAGTGACCTCCCAGGGGTCATAGACTTGCTAAGTTGGCCTGGGGTCCAGGCATGTGAATGCATGGATCTCCCTGGGGTCATAGTATTGGACGTAAGATAACCTGGGCTGTGAACATCATGGCAATTAAGAATATACAAAGATACTGTAGTAAAGTTTTATTTATTATTCTTTGTGAAGTAATTTTCAATTGTCATAGTGAAAGTCATAAATCAAGATAAATTAGAATATAAACTTTAAGTCGCTGTATTATAAAATGTTAAACTAAAATTAAGAAAACAAAAACAAATATTGTCAAATTACTAGGGCTTTGAGTGTGACTAGGAGGTAGAGGCACTGAGTTTGAGCCCCAGCATCACAAAAACAGTATTTCAGTTATTTTGCTATGTTTGTTCCATTTGTGAATATATTATAGAAAACTTAACATCTTAGCTACAACAAAGGAGATTTAGACTGGAAGATCTCTATTAAACCTTCAGAGTTGTGAAAAAAGATAACCTGGGCTATTTTATGAGGGGCAGCCACCTCCTAAGAATTAGGGAGTGGGTAGAAGGATAGACTGGAGTCTGGGATTTGAGGGTGCAGGGACCTCTGAGGGCCCGGGAGTAGGAGATAGATTAACTAGGGTCTTTGGGTGTTCTACAGCAAGCCCACACATGCCTGTCCTTGTCCCCAAGTCTACTCTGGATTCAGTTCCAGCCCATTTTCCTGACTCTGGTACACACTGAGGGACTCTAGGCATGAGCTACACAGAGTCAGGACCCAAGGCGTTCTTGCAAATCTGCCGTTTAAGCCTTCTGGGGAATTCTAGCCCAGGGCTAGCTACCTGACTGCTCTATTCCTTTCTGTGATCCATCCTTAGGTTTCTGTTCTATTCCAGGAAGGATTTTTGATGTCCCTTTCCCACTATATACACACACCCAGGACACAGAAAGACTATAGGAGAGCCCCCAAGTTGACTCTGCCCTTTCTTTCCTGGGATATGTCCTCTGGGATCATTTACTTTCTTATGGTTGTTTTAAAATGCCACGGCAGGGTTAACTTATAGAAGAAAAAGTTTATTTTGGCCTGTGTTCCAGAGAAATAAAGGTCCATCATGGTGTGGAAGCATGGCAGCAGGAGCAGGCGTGACCGCAGCAGCAGCAGCAGGCATGGCAGCAGCAGGGGCAGGCATGGCAGCAGCAGCAGCAGGCATGGCAGCAGGGGCAGGAGCAGGCATGGCAGCAGGGGCAGGAGCAGGCATGGCAGCAGGGGCAGGAGCAGGCATGGCAGCAGGGGCAGGGACAGGAGCAGGCATGGCAGCAGGGGCAGGAGCAGGCATGGCAGCGGGGACAGGAGCAGGCATGGCAGCAGGGGCAGGGACAGGAGCAGGCATGGCAGCAGGGGCAGGAGCAGGCATGGCAGCAGGGACAGGAGCAGGCATGGCAGCAGGGACAGGAGCAGGCATGGCAGCAGGGACAGGAGCAGGCGTGGCAGCAGGGACAGGAGCAGGCATGGCAGCAGGGACAGGAGCAGGCGTGGCAGCAGGGGCAGGAGCAGGCATGGCAGCAGGGACAGGAGCAGGCATGGCAGCAGGGGCAGGAGCAGGCATGGCAGCAGGGGCAGGCATGGCAGTAGGGGCAGGAAGCTGAGGGCTCACTTTGTGAACCACAAGCACTAAGCAGAGAGCAGAGTGGAAGTAGGTGAGGCTTTTCAATCTCAAGTCCACCCCAAGCGATGCGTTTCCTTTAACAAGAGCTTGACATCTAAATCTCCCCAGAAGGTGCTATCTACTGGGGACCACGTGTTCAGATACTGAAACGTAAGGGGGACGTTCTCTTTCAAACTACCACACCCTCCTTATATGACAATTCTCTAAGATGGACCGGTGAGGCCTGCTGCACAAACTTGATTAGAGTATCTACCCATCCTACCATGAGCTTTTCTTGACCTCATCCTTTATCCCACACTTGGACTTTGCTTCAGGTCTGTTCTCTCCTTTGGTGGACTTGGTCTTGCAGCTTCGTTTGCGAACAGCAGAGCTCCAGCATGCCCACAAGCCCTTTCAGCATGACAGGATCCTCTGTTTTGTGGGCAGCCATTGCTTGTGGGTAGGAGCTGCCAACTTCATAGAGGTTTAGAAGCACCCTCTTCATCCCTCTGCTGTGTCCTCAGCACCAGCAATGCTGACGTTGGGTGACTCCTGATGCTTGGACCATTTTGTATCTGAGAGGGGTAAACTAAACTCCAAGACTTCACTTCTAATAATTTAGCAGCTGTGACAGGCTACAGAAAAGACACATAGGCCTCTGACACAAGGAAACTCCAGATCCTCTGGCCTCCCAGAGCCTAGGGCCAAAACTGAACACAATGAAACTCCAGACCACCACCACCACCACCCACAGCCTCCTAGATACGTGGTTCCTACAAACTGTTTGGCCACAAAAAAAACTCTAGGGGAGACCAAAACCTCCCCTGTAGCTTCCAGGATGCAGTTCTGAAAACTATTGGTATCTGTGAACAACAGGCCATCTGCAAGTAACAAGACAAAGCCATAAAAACCACAGAATGCTCCCTCTCAGCCCTGACCGATGAGAAAAATTGGTAGACAGGTATTTCATGTCAAAATATGACTTTGAGAAATTCCCCTAATTGTTCCCAAATGTCAACCAATCAGAAACCAACCCATACCTACTGATGTAATCCCGTAACTTTTGTCTTTAAAACCTAGCAGTAGACAGGGAACTTCCCTCCCTCTGAGGGCTGCTGCGTCAGCTTGTTAGACGGGGTCCCTGTCATGGTTGGATGAACAATCAATAAAATATTGCTTTTACAGTTTGTTGGGTCTGTCTTCCTGGTGGTCTCTGGGGATCTTTTCGACTTGGGCACAACAGTCGAAAAGCCTTGAATCCACACATTTCTCCAGTATTTTTCCTGGGGCTATAATTTACTGAGAAATTTGTCTTTTCAAGCCAAGGTGGACACTTCTGAGGCAGACAGCACAACTTTTATATAGGACCTTTAATATGCTTATGTAACTCCAACATGGCCCTGAGAGGGGCCAATAAGGAAGAGGCGGGGATTGATTCCATCTTTGTAAATTCTAGGTATGATCTTTACAGAGCTGTGTCACCTGCAGAGGCTGCAGGAAGGACCTGTAAGCATACTGGAGGCTGGGCGGTGGTGGCGCACGCCTTTAATCCCAGCACTCGGGAGGCAGAGGCAGGCGGATCTCTGTGAGTTCGAGGCGGGCTGGACCGACAGCCTCCAAAACAATACAGAGAAACCCTGTCTCGTAAAAACCAAAAAAAAAAAAAAAAAAAAAGCATGCTGGAGAAGTGTTTTAGAAAGAAACAGAAACAAAGGTATGGCATGCACTCACAAACATGTACACACACACACAGAGCCACATATACACACTCACAAACATGTACACACACAGAGAGAGACACACACAAATGCACACACACACAGAGGCACACACACACACACACACTCACAAACATGCACATATCAGTTGCCCTGTGTTAATTAACAGCAGTGACAGGTTTTTGTGAATGTACTTATTTATTCTTTGACAGTCTCAAACACGTGTAAGATGAGTTCTAGTTGTTTTTAGCGTCCCATTACTTTACCTCACGTCCTTCCCTAGCCTGATAAACCCTTTTCCCTGCATGGCCCCTTCTGCTTCCATGTCATTTGTTGCTGTATGTTTGATTTTAGTTGCATATATACGTACAGGTGGGGATTCATTTACTGAAACATGGACCAACACATCAGTGTCTACAGCACCGATGAAAGTGACTCTCCCTCCCCAAGAACCACTAACTAACAGTCCCTCAAGGAAGAGTGGTGCCTCACGTGTATCTCCTCATCCATGATGAACTTTCGAGTAATTTAGACTTCTGTCAGTTTTGTGGAGACAACCACAGCTATAGTAAGTTCGTGAGTGTAATGCCTGTGTCATGCTCATAGGGGATCTCTTTTCAGCACACTACCTCCTCTTTTGCCATTTACATTCTTCCCAGCCCCCTTCTGCAATGTCCCCCAATCCTTGGAATGGGCCAAATATGTTCATAGATACCCCATTTAAGGCCACGCACTCCACCGTAACTCCTGCTTGGTACTTGGACCATTGGCTAGCTCCTGTGTTAACTGCCATCCACAGTGGTAGGGAGCTACTTTGATGGCTTCTGAGCATTTAGAGTGCAGTCTGGCAAATGACAACTAAGTAAAAGAACAGCAGCGAGTTTCCTCCTGGGACCTATAGCTGCCCCAGGCATGGGCTTGCCTAGGCCTACAGACCCGACGTGGACTTTATGCTCCAATCCAATGACAGAGCAGCTGGTTACACCCACAGCTATGCTGCTGTGCATTAGAGGTTCGTCTTGCCTGGAAGGCCCTTGTTGTTGCTTGCAGGGTTCTTGGTTGCATATGACTTTATCTGTTTTCTTTTCCCAGCAGTCTACACAGCACCTTCTTGCACAATGAAGGCTAACCAGTGGTGAGGCAGAGTCTAGCTCTGTTCCAGCTTAATATCTCTATGCCTGTGACCAAAGTGTATGTTGTCTTCAGTAGTAGAGTCTTGCCATCAAGTCACTGTGGGTAACTAAGAGCAATAGAACCATTCTGAATTGTTTTAGGGGTCTTCAGCATCTCCATGGCTAACAAATTTTGGAGGAAGCCTACCCCCGACTATTTTAATTTAATAAACTCTGGCTTCTGAAAGAAAAATGCTGTGGTGGTTTGAAAGAAAATGGCCCCCAGGAGTGGCACTATTAGGAGGTGTGGCTTTGTTGGAGTAGGTGTGGCCTTGTTGGAGGAATTGTGTCACTGTGTGGGTGGCCTTTGAGGTCTCCTACGCTCAAACTACTCCCAGTGAGACAGACCACTTATTGCTGCCTACAAGTCAAGGTGTAGGGATCTCAGTTCTGTCTCCAGCAGCACGTCTGCCTGCACTCCACTGAGTCACACTGTGATAATGGACTCACCCTCTGAAAATGTAAGCCACCCTAACTAAAGGTTTTTCCTTCTAAGAGTTGCCATGGTCATCATGCCTCTTCACAGCAATAGAAACCCTAACTAAGACAGGTACCCATGGAAGGTGTCTCCCCATTCAAATTCTTTTTTCTAAATTATATTTTAATATTCTTACAGAATAGTAAGCTTCCTGGTGGTTTTTTGTAAGTCCTTAGTTGTGGTTACACCTCACCTGAAGTTGACAGTCCGTCCTCATGCCTCTCTTCCCAGGTGACTTTAGGTTGTGTCAAGTTTACAGTTAAAGCAAACCATCATACTCTCATGTGTGGATATGATTCTACACAGAACATACAGGTATATAAATGAGAAGTAAGGAGAGAGGAAGAGAAACACATGCATGCAAATGTGTGTGTGTGTGTGTGTCTAAGTATTGACTTTTACCACGGTGATGACTGAGAAATCCCACAGTGCCAAGCCAGAGGACCAGAACCAATTTAATTAAGTCTCAGAACAAAGGCCAAGGCCCCCAAGGTAGGGTGAAATGTCAGTTATAAATGAAATGCGGGAGTAAAATGTTGATGGCTCAAACTTTGTTGTCTGAGGACAGGAGAAGCTGAGTGTCCTAGCTCTGAAAGTGTGTTGGGGAAGTCCTGTGTATATGTCAACAAAGCACTGTTGGCCAATAGGGAAGCAAGATAGGTGGGACTAGGAGTCCAGGAGGACTCTGGATAGGAGAAACACAGGGAGTCAAGATGTAACTGCCATAGGGATAAGACGCCCAGAAACTTCTCCAATAAGAAAATACTTAGATTAGCAATTATGGGATAAATACTTAAGTCAGATCTAGCCAGTAAGAAACAAGCAAGGCCAACAGCTTCATAATTAATACAGTGTCTTGTGTGTTATTTGGGGACTACAACGTGGCAGAGCCCAGGAGACTGGCGGATGAAAAACCAAGCCGCTGGCAAGGGAAAGGCTTCTCTCAACATAATGGTGTCAGGAGTGGGATTGAATTTCCACGTAGAATGACAAAAACTTTAAAGGAATTTTAGAAACAAAAGAACAGAGAAAAGCATGGGTTTTTGGTAGCAGCATTTTCTCAGGTGGGCTCTGTTTTGCTAGCGACAAGCAGAGACTCACGCGATTCGCTTAAGGGAGTCTTCCTGACTCAGCATAAGCAAAAAAAAAAAAAAAACCCAGCAAGATTCTTTTAAGAGGCTCTGTTAACGATTGAAAGGTGTGTACATACAGCTGTAAATGGTAGTGACCACATCTCCAAGCTGGCAGCTTTTGCTGGATGTCAGCATAGACTGATCCAGTTAGCTGGAGTCACGCTTATGCCCGCCATCTTGGAAAAACTGCAGTTTAAACAGCTGCAGTTTTAACAGATAAGACACATGGCCAGAAAAACATAAAGATTTACAGTAAAGTCAGACTTGGATGAAGAAAAACCTCTAAAGGTTTACAGTGTGTTTAAAAATATACATAGAATTGAGAGAGAAAAAGAAACGACATAGTGGTAAATAAATAGAGAAGCCGGATGTGGTGGCGCACGCCGGTAGGATTTGCTGCAGAGGCAGAGGCGGGCGGATTTCCAAAGAGAAACCCTGTCTCAAAGAAAAATAAATAAAAGTAAAAGAAATAGAATAATAATAATAGATAAATAAATAAGCCACGTAAAGATGGAAAATACACAGAAAGTCTGGATACTGTATGCTATTGTGTTTTTCAGTTTTTTGATTGCTAAGGAAGGAACAACTACTAAAGTACACTTGATTATAAATGCTGCTGAATTAATTCAACTTATATCTTTTGAAAATGCCTTGACTTCAAAATTTAAGTATAAGGATATGTTACTTGGAAAAGGAATTTTTGTTTATGTTTCTACAGAAAATGAAAAGCTGAGGATTTCTTCCAGGCTTCTGTGGTTTGATGAACCAAAACCCTGGAAGCAATGGCCCAAGTGATTCAACATCTAAAACAGCTAAGATGATGCAGTCTTACAGACCCTGAAACTAAGGACTTATACAGGTTTCTGAGTTTTGTCATGATCCCCATGGTATAAACAGCACCCCCTTCCAGCACGAAGCAGTTTGGAATGAACGATGTGCTAATTCCCATCTTGTTTATAAATCTTTGTTTTCATTTAAATGGGTTGTTTATAATTGGTTAATGATCACAACCAATCTCTTTTTAAAGGAAAAGGGGGATTATGGTTTGGAAATGAGTACTTTGGTATGGTTTTTCATTTATTGATACAAATTTAAGGTCAATTTTGTGATATGTGTATTTCTCCTCTTGATTAAGTATTGTGTTTATACTAATATTTTAAAACGTAATGCATAATTAAATGCAGACTATAGATAGTTACTTATAATAGAACTTATAGTTAGGTTTTCTGGATATACAGAGATATATTTGAGATAGATAGACAATCTTCAAACCTTTTAAAGACCTTCAGAAAATGGCACTTAAAATGGTTTAGGGTTTTTTTTTTGACAATGAGAAATGTCTGCTCCTGGCAGCACCAATTGCATCTGAGAGGAAGATGGGCATCGAAGAAACTCGTTATGGAGTTTGTTTTCAACATGGCAAGATTAGCCATTTGGGCAAGAAACTGCTCTTGCCTGGACTGCTTGACTGTTGCTGTATAAACTGGACATGCAGAACCCACAGGAAAGTGACTGCTGAACTCAAACAGTCCTACAGGGTTCCTGCTTCATGGAAGAGCCTATGAGACTTTTTGCAGGACACAGAAAAATGACTGACAGACTGCCAATGCAGATGGACAGTTTGAAATTTCCTGCTTTGCTGAGAAGTCTTCCAGATACACTATGGCCTGTGGGCTGAAGATGGATGCCTCAACATTACAGAGGAACTTTGGGTGACTGTCCAGGTAGCAAGATGTCTCTGTCAATTCTAGTGTTTATATGTTATCCTTCTGTGGTCTTTGATGGAGTTGAAGGCAGATAGTTATAATTATAGTTTTCCTTAGTTACAATAAAAGATAAGCTAAATACAGAACTTTGGACTCACAAGGATGGGATGGATGATATTTTCTTTAAATCTTGCTAAATGTTGATAGACAAAATATTGTAACTGTGTTCTTACTTGATAACTCTTCTGTTATATATAATTTGACTATGTTAAAGTTAAGACCTTTCTTTTTGTTTAAACAGAAAAGAGATGTTGGGGAAGTCCTGTGTATATGTCAATAAAGCACTGTTGGCCAATAGGGAAGCAAGATAGGTGGGACTAGGAGTCCAGGAGGACTCTGGGTAGGAGAAACACAGGGAGTCAAGATGTAACTGCCATAGGGATAAGACGCCCAGAAACTCCTCCAATAAGAAAATACTTAGATTAGCAATTATGGGATAAATACTTAAGTCAGATCTAGCCAGTAAGAAACAAGCAAGGCCAACAGCTTCATAATTAATACAGTATCTTGTGTGTTATTTGGGGACTACAACGTGGCAGAGCCCAGAGGACTGGCGGGTGAAAACCAAGCCGCTGGCAAGGAAAAGGCTTCTCTCAACAGAAGTGAGAGTGAATTTCCCCTCCCTCTGCCTATTGTTCTACCTGGATCCTCAGTGAACTGGACAGTGTTGTGATGGGGAAGGTCCTTCTGTGTATGTTTGTCTTATTGGTTGATGAATAAAACACTGATTGGCCAGGCAGGATGATAGGCAGGATTAGGAGACAAGGAGGATTCTGGGAAGTGTAGGCAGAGAAGAATCATCATGTGATCTCAGGAAGTGACATAGCTGGGCAGAAACTGCCACTAGCTAACCATAGAGGTCTGTAGGTCTCTACCGACAGGCAGAGAAGGGCGATGGTGGGACCTCGCCAGGCCAGAAAACTTCATGTTACAGTGTTGCCTGCATGGTCCAGGGCAGATTCTCCTGACTCAGTCTACTAATGCAAATACTAATGTCTTCTGGAAACACTGTCTCAGACATACCCAGAGTCATGAGTTACATGAGCTACATGGACACCACTTAGTGCAGCCAACTGGATCCCTGAAAAGAGCCATCTCAGGAGCTGATTGCCCTGTCTTTTTCCAGGTCCCTCTACCTGAGCAGGGCATGAAGGAGGTGACTGAGCTGGTGTGCACCTATCGTAGGGTTTCACGACCTGCATGAGTCTGACAGTTCCCATCATTATTCTGCACCACTCCAACATCATCCGATTAGTCCTCTATGCCTCAGGTGCACACAGGAGCTGCTGGGGGTGTGCTGTGGCGATCTGAGGGCATCTAGTCCCACCCCCATACTTCATAGCCCAGTCCTTCCTTCCCTGACTTATTTCAGCAGTCCTGCTCTTTCTTCCAAATGCTCACCGCTCGTGTTGTAGTTACTTTTCCATTCCCGTAATGAAATACACAGACCAAAAGCAATTTGGGGGAGGGAAGGGTCTGTTTGGCTTACACTCCCATGTCACAGTCTATTATGGAGGGAATCCAGGGCAGGAACCTGAAGGCAGGCTCATGCTGTTTCACACAGCATTACCCCAAGCCAGGGAAGTCACTCACAGTCAAGGAAGTACAGAAGGAACTGAGGAGGAGGAGGGTGCTTGCTATTGGACTTGGAGACACGCTTATATTCATATAATTTTCTTACATAGTTGAAGACCACAGGTCTGAGTATGGTACTGCTCACAGGTGGGCTGGACCCACCTGCATCCAGTAACAGTCAAGACAGCCCCCTCCACAGACAAGCCCACAGGCCAATCTGAGCTACACAATTCCTTAACTG